TAGTAATACCGTCACACTTTGTCAGAAAGATTTGTCCCCAAGCGACTATTAGTAATACCGTCACACTTTGTCAGAAAGATTTGTCCCCAAGCCACTAATAGTAATACCGTCACACTTTGTCAGAAAGATTTGTCCCCAAGCGACTATTAGTAATACCGTCACACTTTGTCAGAAAGATTTGTCCCCAAGCGACTAATAGTAATACCGTCACACTTTGTCAGAAAGATTTGTCCCCAAGCGACTAATAGTAATACCGTCACACTTTGTCAGAAAGATTTGTCCCCAAGCCACTAATAGTAATACCGTCACACTTTGTCAGAAAGATTTGTCCCCAAGCGACTAATAGTAATACCGTCACACTTTGTCAGAAAGATTTGTCCCCAAGCGACTAATAGTAATACCGTCACACTTTGTCAGAAAGATTTGTCCCCAAGCCACTAATAGTAATACCGTCACACTTTGTCAGAAAGATTTGTCCCCAAGCGACTAATAGTAATACCGTCACACTTTGTCAGAAAGATTTGTCCCCAAGCCACTAATAGTAATACCGTCACACTTTGTCAGAAAGATTTGTCCCCAAGCGACTAATAGTAATACCGTCACACTTTGTCAGAAAGATTTGTCCCCAAGCGACTAATAGTAATACCGTCACACTTTGTCAGAAAGATTTGTCCCCAAGCGACTAATAGTAATACCGTCACACTTTGTCAGAAAGATTTGTCCCCAAGCGACTAATAGTAATACCGTCACACTTTGTCAGAAAGATTTGTCCCCAAGCGACTAATAGTAATACCGTCACACTTTGTCAGAAAGATTTGTCCCCAAGCGACTAATAGTAATACCGTCACACTTTGTCAGAAAGATTTGTCCCCAAGCGACTAATAGTAATACCGTCACACTTTGTCAGAAAGATTTGTCCCCAAGCCACTAATAGTAATACCGTCACACTTTGTCAGAAAGATTTGTCCCCAAGCCACTAATAGTAATACCGTCACACTTTGTCAGAAAGATTTGTCCCCAAGCGACTAATAGTAATACCGTCACACTTTGTCAGAAAGATTTGTCCCCAAGCGACTAATAGTAATACCGTCACACTTTGTCAGAAAGATTTGTCCCCAAGCCATTAATAGTAATACCGTCACACTTTGTCAGAAAGATTTGTCCCCAAGCCACTAATAGTAATACCGTCACACTTTGTCAGAAAGATTTGTCCCCAAGCCAAGCGTAATAGTAATACCGTCACACTTTGTCAGAAAGATTTGTCCCCAAGCGACTAATAGTAATACCGTCACACTTTGTCAGAAAGATTTGTCCCCAAGCGACTAATAGTAATACCGTCACACTTTGTCAGAAAGATTTGTCCCCAAGCGACTAATAATAATACCGTCACACTTTGTAAAAATGAATTTGTTACTTAGCGAACAATGATAACAGTGTCACACATTACCAGAAAGGGTTTGTTCCCTAGTGACTAATAATAATAGTGACACACGTTATCAGAAATTAAAGATTTGTCCCCAAGCGACTAATAATAATACCGTCACACTTTGTAAAAATGAATTTGTTACTTAGCGAACAATGATAACAGTGTCACACATTACCAGAAAGGGTTTGTTCCCTAGTGACTAATAATAATAGTGACACACGTTATCAGAAATATACTGTTCCCAAGTGATTAGTGATAATTAGCAAATTATAAACATTGTGCCATAGCAATTGTTAATGATTTTTTCTTCTTTTTTTTTAAAAAAAGAATAATATTACAGTAATCAAGTTTTGTTAAAACTTTAACTTACCTTATCTTTTCAGGAATGTGATATCCGAGTTTCGCGGTTCTGTCGCACCGATACGATTACATTCAATGAGAACTACAGTCTCTCAGTTGCCATAGTATCTCCGAAAAAAAAATAGCTCATGAAACTCAATGGCGATTTTTCTCACGTTGTCAATTTATCATGGGAGATACTTATACTAAGTGTTTTGTTAACGTATCCGTGGAAATTTCACCGAACACGTGGCGATACTGTGCGATTGCGGTGACAAGATATCGGTAAATTACGGAGCACGTGGGTAAAACTATGTTTTCTGATGTTGTCACGTTGTCCATTGATAATATAGTATCACATACCAGTCGGTTGACAAGGAGATAATAACTAACATGACGTTGATGATCGACAGCACAAGCTGGACACGGACCACGATACTATGCTCATCGGTATGATGTTTTCACATACTGCCAATAAGGTTCTATTCTCGCACTAGTAACATAGTTCAATCGATCCGTGGTGGGTTAGGAAAACAAATACTTAGGGAGAAAACACGATATAAGTTATCATTTCTGACTGCGTGTTATAACCAAGGTACCATTCAATCCGACATATAGCATTTCAGAAGTCAGTTTTATTTGACTCTGCCGATGCTGAGACAACTACACGACAAGTTTTTTTCACACAAGATCATTGTTCCAGCATTTATTGCTTTCGACAAAAAACAAACTTTTATCTTTAAAAAGTAAAATAAAACCCAGACAAGTCCTAAGAAAAAAAATCTTGATATTTTTGCCTTCTTATATCTAAATAAAAAGAGACCCTTTAACAGTAACATTTCACTTTAGCATCTTTCTCATTTCCTCGTCCAATGTGAAACATGTCACTTATTTGATAATTACTTGTTACAAAGGCTGTTCCAGAACGATTCATCCAGTGTTAACAAACTTTAACAGTCAAAATCCAACATGGTCTCCTGTCTACTATTATACTAGCACCGTGATAGACCTAGGGCTAAAGGAAGATTCACCTAAAACCGTGGCGGCCGTCTAACACGATACTGTCAGGATACTGTCAGCGTCAGAGGTTCGGGTGGACTCTAGCTAAATGATAATACGTTTCTTATCGGCCGTCTAACACGATACTGTCAGGATACGGTCAGCGTCAGAAGTTCAGGGTGGATTCTAGCTAAATAATACGTTTCTTATCTAGGGACCTTCTCCCCTGATATAAGGTCAGACCTAACGTCAGTAAGGATATAGAATAATATGACATTCTGTTTCACGTTCTTACCAATATAGATGGAGTTTGATTGTGTAAACAAAATATACTGCCTCCCTTAAACCCAGAAAACAAACCCTACGGTAGAAGAGGGGATTTAAAAAGCAGAAACTAAATATTCACTTAGACCTTAGATCATTGGTACTAATTGCCAAATTCAATTAAATCCCTTTCAGCCACTCTCAGGATTCTTAATATTGACTCTCCACTTCGCTATGCTATTTGGCTCTCAGTGAGGCCATAACTGTGGCACAAGTACGCACCAGACACCCCCCTCCCCTCCCCTGTAAATGGTGACTATCAACCAGAAGATTTTAAGGCAGAACACTATACGCCTATCCCGTTCAAGTATACCGCAAAATATATATGGCGGAAATATCATCATCTGCATTGTTCAAAAGAATTTGGTTGAAAACGCTGGTTTGACATTCTGCTTGAAGTGACAGAACCCAGATGAAGTTGCCCCTAAAGTGTTATATTTTTAGAGAGAGAGTTATGTCCCATTATGTCAAAAACGCATAGAAATTTGTATCCTACACAACATAACACGAATCCTGTATAATCTCCTGAATAGTAACATTCTGAAATCATATGTATTCTAGCTAGTGAACTAAGTATCTGACTGACTTTTACAGTTCATCAACTGAATACATAGCGAAGGAAGACTGTAGATAAAGATGTAAATTTAGATAAGAAGGCCCAGCAAGCAAATGTCTAATTTTAAATCTTATTCACAACTATTTCAATGTAATGTCAAAAGACCAGATTTCCAGCCACGGGAGATTATCACTTGCAACTGAAGTATGAAAAGAATAAAGGGTGGTAACTCTCACAAAAATTGTCAAATAAGAATGCCACTTAGGAATGCATTGCAACATGCTTTGACCATACAGCACACAATGGTTTCAAGAGATTAAAGAAATTGGTGACAAATGAGTCAAGATTGAAATTAAATCCCTTCGAACCCCTCCCCCTAAAAAAAAAAAAAAAAAAGAAAGTAAAAAGAAGAGGTTCGTGGGCCACGAAACCATCTCCTGACCTGACAAGTTTCACCAAAACCTTATATTTACCCAATGTATTGTGTTAACAAGGTCAATGGTTTTAATTATGCAAAAGTTCATAGCTCTGCAAATTATGATGGAATCAATCCAATGAGTAAACTCCTACCAGATCTTATTGACATCTGGCTGCATACCAAGTTTTATTAAAAACTGTTTACATTTATACTTGTTATTGAGTCACAAGGTCTATAAAACTGCAAAGGACCGTAACTCTCTTAACTATAATATGGACTCATTCGAGATCTTTCTGATACAAGGCTGCATACCAAGTATATCAGAATCGGTTCATATTTACAGTAGAACTTGTGTGAGTTGAGCACTCTTAATTCACATACAGGGGATGATTTAAATGTTTTGGTTGGTCCTGATTTTCTATATATACTCTCCATTAACAAATTTTGTAGGAATGTCTCAAACATTGTTAAGTCGAATATAGCAGTTGTGTTGAATATATATTTACATACCTACTTAAAAAAACATTATCAAATTTTTCTCTGTTGGAGTCAAACATCCATAGTTGCCCATTAAGTCTTGGGTAAATCCTCTTTTTACAACCAGGCCAAGGTCCAATCAGCTAAATCAGACAATCAACCGTTTTCCTTTTTTAAACAGGTATAGTTCAGACTTTTTAACAGTACTATTTTTTCCAAAGAAACAAACCAAAATTTTTTGCTTCCTGGTTCATTATAAATCACTTGTTTGTTTAACTGTAGTTTTTCAGATTTGAAAATTGCTACGAACATAAGACATGAGGACATTATAGAGTAGGCAGCGATTTTCGCATCCCGTATTTTATAAAAGAATTCTGTACAAAATAACAGCATAAATCATTTCTGCTTTAATTTTTATTGATCAAAATAATTTACTAGTACATCTATAAGCAATATCACAATGGTTTGACTTGAGAGAAAAATACAATTCAACATGGTATCTATGTTGTTAATCGTGTCAACAATAAACAGACACACTGTACAACTACAGAGTCTAATAGTAATACTTTATGAGAAATATATTTCTATATATATTTGCTGTAACCAGACATTCAATAATAACCTTCTGTATTTGTCTAAGCCATTATACAAGATACAATTAATACCAGCATAAATTAGTTTAGGGGAATAGTGACAAAGAGCCTTACAACAAAACACAAGACTAAATTTTCAATTAACATGCATACTTCATGTATTCAGTCTGTTTTCTTCCATAATGCCTAAGTATGATTAATGCCATAATTTTCATTTCCTTTAATAGCACTGTGTCCCTTGTAATGTCTATACCAGTCTATCTATACCAGGTATTTTGATCTACTAGGGAAGCTGTTAATACTAACGTCTTTTCTTCCAAGTCCATTCAGTCTCAGATTTATATTGGCTATAAAAAGTACTTTCACAATGTCACATCAATGTCATTCTCACTAAACGGTCCAACACTAAACACAGCTACAGATTATCATGTACAAGGTCAAAGGACATACAGCTCTTTGCTGAAATTGGTCAAAATGACTCCACACTAATGAGTTTGAAGTTTGATACAGCCACAAACAATCCATGTGTTCTCAGCCTAGTGTGGACACAAATGAGTCAATGTTGAGTTTGGCTACAAAAAATTCTTGAGTAGTCAGATGGAGTGGATGCAAATGAGTCAATGTTGAGTTTGGCCACAAACAATCGGTTTGTACTCAGCTAGCCCGGAGAAGATACACATGAGTCAATGTTGAGTATGGCCACAACAATCCTTTGTACTCAGGCAGGAGAAGATACAAATGAGTTAATGTTGAGTTTGTCTACAATCAATCCTTTGTACTCAGGCAGGAGAGGATACAAATGAGTCAATGTTGAGTTTGGCCACAAACAATCCGTTTGTACTCAGGCAGGAGAGGATACAAATGAGTCAATGTTGAGTATGGCCACAAACAATCCTTTTGTACTCAGCCCGGAGAGGATACAAATGAGTCAATGTTGAGTATGGCCACAACAATCCTTTTGTACTCAGCCTGGAGAGGATACAAATGAGTCAATGTTGAGTTTGGCTACAATCAATCCTTATGTATATCTACTCAGTCCAGTGCTGTGTAATTAGGTGGTTTTTTCATCCTGTTGTCGACTGCTAACTTTTCTCTCAGCCGTCTAACCTCATGTAATAAAGCTATTTCTCTCTCATCAAATGCTCTGCCATCTCTATCGAAGGACACTATAGGAAAACAAGAAACATTATATAGATCCATGGATGAGAATAAAATAAGAAATAATGTCATGTTGTATTAACAGATTTTCATCAGTGTTGGAAACAAAAAGAATCTAAAATATAGTCATCAGTTCTCTCTTCCTCTTGGAATGTTTTGCTAACTTCGGTGTTTTTTCACGGATACAAATTTGGAAATAAAAAATTCCATCATCTCCATATCTACACAATTTTACGAATGTGCAGTCGTCAATCTACAGTTAATTTTCACAATTCTTTTTAAGTTTATTACTAAAATTGATGGGTACTACAATGTGAAATGTAAGTATTTCCATTCTGTAAGTGAACCCTTTGGTCTGTTGAATTGGACATAAATAAAGGTAAATTTTCTCTAAATCTGGACCAAAATACTATGAGTATAAGACTTAGAACTCACATGTAGATTTATCACTGATGTGGTAATTAAAGGCATGTATTTTGTTAATTGTTTCAAAGTTAAAAAAAAATACATTTTCAAAAAAATCATATACATTTAGGTAATGTCATTAAGCATGCAAATTCGCCATTTGACTGTTTCACAGTCTGAGGTGGCCAGTGTGTGGTATTATTATAATAAAAGTATTTACCTTTTGACTCTGTTTCACAGTCTGAGGTTACCAATGTGTGATATAACTCTGACTTACTACTGTTGTCAAGGCCAGCTAGTCCTGGTCGGTGACCTGCCATACACAAACAATAATACTTTAGAATTGTAAGGACGATAAAACCTAAAATGTTTCCTGTCAAACAGAAACCAACATATTTTAAAACTAGGTCAACAAAAAGATTGCCTGAGTGTTTTTCATGATAAGTGATTATCAAATAGGCCATATCTAGTCACTGAAACATTCATAAATTGATTAATTACTACCTAAACTGAAAGTACACATAGTATTCATCCAGTTCTGAGCGATAAACAGATAATTTTCTGGCCTTTCCTTCTGCTCTGATTTCAAGCACAACAAGCATCAAAGAAATTGAGCATAGGAAATAAGAGGTTGCAGTTGGCACATCACATAATAAATTGGTCAACCATTGGCCTCTTTATCTTATAGGCATACTGCTCTCTGTGTTATCATTAAAAGCCGATTACTGCCAAAAGTAGCTGGTTATTCATCAATACTAAACCCGCCATTATCTTAGAAAATAAACATAATGATACTACAATCAGTTATTTTTTTCAAAAACCAAAATCTTAGTGAGAACGCTGATCTTCATAACATATATGTCTATGAATTGTAAAACATTTTCAAAAAAGATAATGACAATGTTTAGCTTTGAATCTGTCTATAGACAAGGTAAGAATTATTTTACTCTCTTAATGACGAGTTGATCTATACATAACAAACCAAGGTTTTCAAACCCTGTTTACAAAGTTTTTTCACTTTACATACTATTTAATGATGATATTGTATCTTCAGTCAGCTTTTTGCCGTGATAATGTGCTTTGTATCCCTCCTCTTCAAGGAACTGTAAACGTCGCTGATCAGATTGTGCCGCCAGGTCTTTCTGTTCTTCTAGATGCAGTTTAGCTAACTCTGCTTCATTCATCTATAGAGGAGTCATAAAAAATAAGGTTTCCATATTGTTAGTTTTTCCTTGTAACAACAGAGTCAAAATCAACATGATAGAAACATCTGCTGACATTGATGTAGGAATTTCTATCATTATAAGTAAATCTTATTAAGCACAGAGAAATATGTTATGAACTGAAGTGATTTACAATCAATTCACATACCGTTTGGGCCTGGACTTGCTTCATCAGCCTATGTACTTCCTCTTCCAGCTTCCTGTTCTCTGTACTTTTCTTTGCTAACTGTAGAGGGACAAGTAAATTATGACATACACAACTAACATTGTCAAACAAGAATTGCATGGACAAATTCTAAAATAGGCAAAATGTAATAATCATTGGACAGTGTGATAGCATGGACAAATTCTAAAATAGGCAAAATGTAATAATCATTGGACAGTGTGATAGCATGGACAAATTCTAAAATAGGCAAAATGTAATAATCATTGGACAGTGTGATAGCATGGACAAATTCTAAAATAGGCAAAATGTATTAATCATTGGACAGTGTGATAGCATGGACAAATTCTAAAATAGGCAAAATGTATTAATCATTGGATAGCATGATAGCATGGACAAATTCTAAAATAGGCAAAATGTAATAATCATTGGACAGTGTGATAGCATGGACAAATTCTAAAATAGGCAAAATGTATTAATCATTGGATAGCATGATAGCATGGACAAATTCTAAAATAGGCAAAATGTATTAATCATTGGACAGTGTGATAGCATGGACAAATTCTAAAATAGGTGAAATGTATTAATCATTGGACAGTGTGATAGCATGGACAAATTCTAAAATAGGCAAAATGTATTAATCATTGGACAGTGTGATAGCATGGACAAATTCTAAAATAGGCAAAATGTAATAATCATTGGACAGTGTGATAGCATGGACAAATTCTAAAAAAGGCAAAATGTATTAATCATTGGACAGTGTGATAGCATGGACAAATTCTAAAATAGGCAAAATGTAATAATCATTGGACAGTGTGATAGCATGGACAAATTCTAAAATAGGCAAAATGTATTAATCATTGGATAGTGTGATAGCATGGACAAATTCTAAAATAGGCAAAATGTATTAATCATTGGATAGTGTGATAGCATGGACAAATTCTAAAATAGGCAAAATGTATTAATCATTGGATAGCATGATAGCATGGACAAATTCTAAAATAGGCAAAATGTATTAATCATTGGACAGTGTGATAGCATGGACAAATTCTAAAATAGGCAAAATGTATTAATCATTGGATAGCATGATAGCATGGACAAATTCTAAAATAGGCAAAATGTAATAATCATTGGATAGCATGATAGCATGGACAAATTCTAAAATAGGCAAAATGTATTAATCATTGGACAGTGTGATAGCAGGGACAAATTCTAAAATAGGCAAAATGTAATAATCATTGGACAGTGTGATAGCATGGACAAATTCTAAAATAGGCAAAATGTAATAATCATTGGACAGTGTGATAGCATGGACAAATTCTAAAATAGGCAAAATGTAATAATCATTGGACAGTGTGATAGCATGGACAAATTCTAAAATAGGCAAAATGTAATAATCATTGGACAGTGTGATAGCATGGACAAATTCTAAAATAGGCAAAATGTAATAATCATTGGACAGTGTGATAGCATGGACAAATTCTAAAATAGGCAAAATGTAATAATCATTGGACAGTGTGATAGCATGGACAAATTCTAAAATAGGCAAAATGAATTAATCATTGGACAGTGTGATAGCATGGACAAATTCTAAAATAGGCAAAATGTAATATTCATTGGAGAGTATGATAGCATGGACAAATCCTAAAATAGGCAAAATGTATTAATCATTGGATAGCATGATAGCATGGACAAATTCTAAAATAGGCAAAATGTATTAATCATTGGATAGTATGATAGCATGGACAAATCCTAAAATAGGCAAAATGTATTAATCATTGGATAGCATGATAGCATGGACAAATCCTAAAATAGGTGAAATGTATTAATCATTGGATAGTGTGATAGCATGGACAAATTCTAAAATAGGTGAAATGTATTAATCATTGGACAGTGTGATAGCATGGACAAATTCTAAAATAGACAAAATGTAATAATCATTGGACAGTGTGATAGCATGGACAAATTCTAAAATAGGCAAAATGTAATAATCATTGGACAGTGTGATAGCATGGACAAATCCTAAAATAGGTGAAATGAATTAATCATTGGACAGTGTGATAGCATGGACAAATTCTAAAATAGGCAAAATGTATTAATCATTGGACAGTGTGATAGCATGGACAAATTCTAAAATAGACAAAATGTAATAATCATTGGACAGTGTGATAGCATGGACAAATTCTAAAATAGGCAAAATGTAATAATCATTGGACAGTGTGATAGCATGGACAAATCCTAAAATAGGTGAAATGAATTAATCATTGGACAGTGTGATAGCATGGACAAATTCTAAAATAGGCAAAATGTAATATTCATTGGAGAGTATGATAGCATGGACAAATTCTAAAATAGGTGAAATGTATTAATCATTGGACAGTGTGATAGCATGGACAAATTCTAAAATAGGTGAAATGTATTAATCATTGGATAGCATGATAGCATGGACAAATTCTAAAATAGGTGAAATGTATTAATCATTGGATAGTGTGATAGCATGGACAAATTCTAAAATAGGCAAAATGTATTAATCATTGGACAGTGTGATAGCAGGGACAAATTCTAAAATAGGTGAAATGTATTAATCATTGGACAGTGTGATAGCATGGACAAATTCTAAAATAGGTGAAATGTATTAATCATTGGAGAGTATGATAGCATGGACAAATCCTAAAATAGGCAAAATGTATTAATCATTGGATAGCATGATAGCATGGACAAATTCTAAAATAGGCAAAATGTATTAATCATTGGATAGTATGATAGCATGGACAAATCCTAAAATAGGCAAAATGTATTAATCATTGGATAGCATGATAGCATGGACAAATCCTAAAATAGGTGAAATGTATTAATCATTGGATAGTGTGATAGCATGGACAAATTCTAAAATAGGTGAAATGTATTAATCATTGGACAGTGTGATAGCATGGACAAATTCTAAAATAGACAAAATGTAATAATCATTGGACAGTGTGATAGCATGGACAAATTCTAAAATAGGCAAAATGTAATAATCATTGGACAGTGTGATAGCATGGACAAATCCTAAAATAGGTGAAATGAATTAATCATTGGACAGTGTGATAGCATGGACAAATTCTAAAATAGGCAAAATGTAATATTCATTGGAGAGTATGATAGCATGGACAAATTCTAAAATAGGTGAAATGTATTAATCATTGGACAGTGGGATAGCATGGACAAATTCTAAAATAGGTGAAATGTATTAATCATTGGATAGCATGATAGCATGGACAAATTCTAAAATAGGTGAAATGTATTAATCATTGGATAGTGTGATAGCATGGACAAATTCTAAAATAGGTGAAATGTATTAATCATTGGATAGTGTGATAGCATGGACAAATTCTAAAATAGGTGAAATGTATTAATCATTGGATAGTGTGATAGCATGGACAAATTCTAAAATAGGCAAAATGTATTAATCATTGGACAGTGTGATAGCATGGACAAATTCTAAAATAGGCAAAATGTATTAATCATTGGATAGTGTGATAGCATGGACAAATTCTAAAATAGGCAAAATGTATTAATCATTGGAGAGTGTGATAGCATGGACAAATCCTAAAATAGGTGAAATGTATTAATCATTGGACAGTGTGATAGCATGGACAAATTCTAAAATAGGTGAAATGTATTAATCATTGGATAGCATGATAGCATGGACAAATTCTAAAATAGGTGAAATGTATTAATCATTGGATAGCATGATAGCATGGACAAATTCTAAAATAGGCAAAATGTATTAATCATTGGATAGTGTGATAGCATGGACAAATCCTAAAATAGGTGAAATGTATTAATCATTGGACAGTGTGATAGCATGGACAAATTCTAAAATAGGTGAAATGTATTAATCATTGGATAGCATGATAGCATGGACAAATTCTAAAATAGGCAAAATGTATTAATCATTGGACAGTGTGATAGCAGGGACAAATTCTAAAATAGGTGAAATGTATTAATCATTGGATAGTGTGATAGCATGGACAAATTCTAAAATAGGTGAAATGTATTAATCATTGGATAGCATGATAGCATGGACAAATTCTAAAATAGGTGAAATGTATTAATCATTGGATAGTGTGATAGCATGGACAAATTCTAAAATAGGTGAAATGTATTAATCATTGGATAGTGTGATAGCATGGACAAATTCTAAAATAGGTGAAATGTATTAATCATTGGATAGTGTGATAGCATGGACAAATTCTAAAATAGGCAAAATGTATTAATCATTGGACAGTGTGATAGCATGGACAAATTCTAAAATAGGCAAAATGTATTAATCATTGGACAGTGTGATAGCATGGACAAATTCTAAAATAGGCAAAATGTATTAATCATTGGATAGTGTGATAGCATGGACAAATCCTAAAATAGGTGAAATGTATTAATCATTGGACAGTGTGATAGCATGGACAAATTCTAAAATAGGTGAAATGTATTAATCATTGGATAGCATGATAGCATGGACAAATTCTAAAATAGGTGAAATGTATTAATCATTGGATAGCATGATAGCATGGACAAATTCTAAAATAGGTGAAATGTATTAATCATTGGACAGTGTGATAGCATGGACAAATTCTAAAATAGGCAAAATGTATTAATCATTGGATAGTGTGATAGCATGGACAAATCCTAAAATAGGTGAAATGTATTAATCATTGGACAGTGTGATAGCATGGACAAATTCTAAAATAGGTGAAATGTATTAATCATTGGATAGCATGATAGCATGGACAAATTCTAAAATAGGTGAAATGTATTAATCATTGGATAGCATGATAGCATGGACAAATTCTAAAATAGGCAAAATGTATTAATCATTGGATAGTGTGATAGCATGGACAAATCCTAAAATAGGTGAAATGTATTAATCATTGGACAGTGTGATAGCATGGACAAATTCTAAAATAGGTGAAATGTATTAATCATTGGATAGCATGATAGCATGGACAAATTCTAAAATAGGCAAAATGTATTAATCATTGGACAGTGTGATAGCATGGACAAATCCTAAAATAGGTGAAATGTATTAATCATTGGACAGTGTGATAGCATGGACAAATTCTAAAATAGGTGAAATGTATTAATCATTGGATAGCATGATAGCATGGACAAATTCTAAAATAGGTGAAATGTATTAATCATTGGATAGTGTGATAGCATGGACAAATTCTAAAATAGGTGAAATGTATTAATCATTGGATAGCGTGATAGCATGGACAAATTCTAAAATAGGTGAAATGTATTAATCATTGGATAGTGTGATAGCATGGACAAATTCTAAAATAGGTGAAATGTATTAATCATTGGATAGTGTGATAGCATGGACAAATTCTAAAATAGGCAAAATGTATTAATCATTGGACAGTGTGATAGCATGGACAAATTCTAAAATAGGCAAAATGTATTAATCATTGGATAGTGTGATAGCATGGACAAATTCTAAAATAGGTGAAATGTATTAATCATTGGATAGTGTGATAGCATGGACAAATTCTAAAATAGGTGAAATGATAGTGTTAATTATGAAGAATTATTTATTTGTTTTTAAAGGCAACTTAAAAAATAAAATTTAAAAGTGTTACTCATATGTGTCTATGATTTAAAAAGGAGCATAGTGTGTCTCCATAAAATCCTATTTAAACTCAGTCCCAGATTCTGAGCTGTAGCAAACCTTCATAATTCATTCCAGTCAGAAAGGTTTCTCAATCTTTCATACATGTGACAGTTACATTTCATATTTTCAGAAGGAATCTAATCTGAAATTGTAGCTACACAACACTATCAACTAAATACTTAATATCAGATTCACTCCACCAAAAGAAATGGAATGTTGAAAGAAAGATACATTGAGTGTATAACTCCACTTTTGAGTAAACTACATGAATGTTTTTTATGAATATTATCCAAGGTGACATCACTGCATTTTTTGTCAGATTCAGATTTTTATCACAGACCTGGATAGCTTTGCTCTCACGCTCCAGGTCTTCTAGCCGATGACGATGCTCAAACTCGTTTTGCGCCCAGGCCTCAATGTTCTGTTGGGCAGTCTGAGCTAAATTGTCCTGTAACATCTGAAAAAGACAGAAAACGAAATAGGAATAAAAATTCATTTCAAGAGCTAAAAAGAATTTTATTTCAAGGTTGAAATTAAAGTTTTGTGTTGTAATATTCCCTTTTTCATGAAAGGAGAGAATGACAACTAGAAATTCTATTTTACCATTTCTTTTTTGGTGGTTTTTCTCATTAAAATCCATGTTTCAACATTATATATGTAACTTTTGTAATGAATGAATTTTTATCACTAAATTGAATCTGATTGATCAGATTTTGTCATCATTAGATGACATCAATTTACCAAAGAAATTTTCACTATTTGTGTCAAGGTATCTAAAACGTTTGTAGGAGAGGGGCCTACAGAAGCAGTCAAAGAACTGAGATTCATGTAGAATAAACCCCTGATACATTTCATAGTATAAATTTCAGGTAAAGATATAAATTTTACTGATGAAGAAAGGGTAACATGAAGTGACGGACCTTCCTGACATCCATTTGTCGTTCCCTCTCCACATCCTTAAGTCTATCCTGTATACGATTCTCCAGCTCTGCCTGTTTCCTGTGCATGTCCTGTTCTGTACGGAGTTGATGGGACACAGTGGCAAACTCCCGGAACAGTTCCTGGTAATAGACCAAAGACACCAGTAAATTTCAAGGAAACATGCATGCAGGAAACAGATTTTTACCATGTAATGTTCTAGTTACTGTGATGTTTGTTTAAACAGTCTAAATATCTATGACAACTTTCTATAAACATGGTTGAAAATGCTACATTCCAACAGATGACCAACGTTTTCAGGCCTTTTTACAGTAGAAAAGTAAATGTACTTTACATTAAATTGACAAAATTATCATGAAAAGAATTTAAAACCTCGAAATTATAGCAATCTTGTAATCCATCATCAAAGTACCATAAATTATCATTAATAACTGAATTACTTGTTCAAACATTTTCTTTTGCAACTGCAACTCGATGTTCCTGATCTCAGCCTCCTCAATAGCTCCTTCTGTCTCCTGGTCCCTCAGCAGTGCCTATTAACACAAGTTACACAGTATTATAACATGTAATTTAGCTATTTCTGTCTCTACAGTGCCTGATAAACATATTACACACAATATGTGGACCATAAAACAAACAAACTCTTTAGGATTCAAATCTTACATCTGGAAGTTGTCACTCAAGAAAAGTTTCTTAAAGTTATAAACTTATAAGCATTACTTGTATGTTCCCATAGTATTAAACCTTTAACCAATGTGTCCTTCCCAATTTGGAGAATTTTTCACCCATTTACTTGTTCTCTTCAAGTCTTTAATAATTTTTCAAATATCATATCATTATGTTCTGGCCGAGTTACAGTCTTCTATATCAATGTTACTGTCAACCTGTTTTATCTCCAGGAAACAAGTAGATGTTGTGATATGAGTATCACTGCCATCACTTTAAGAGAAACAGGCATAATTATAAAGCCCATCAAAAGCGTGACTGACAGACAAAATAAATATTATGTTCACAGACATTACCTAGCCAAGTAAAAAAAAAAGGCCAGCACTGCTGACTTTTAAAATATCAATAAATCTTATTCGAGAGAATCGGAATTGTACTATCTAAAATACATCACTGTTGTATTAAGCAATTACCTTCCTCTGGACTTCGTCATCAAGACGGCGCAGTTCTTTCTGACGCTGTTCTTTCTGGAAGTGGAGGAACTTGCGACGAGCAGCATCCAGCAACTGAAGTTCCTTGAGCTTCACCTCACGATTCATGGCATATAACCTGTCACAACATATAGAATATTTAACACAACACACAGGATATCTTACACAACACGCAAGATTTTTAACACAACACACTGGATATTTAACACATCACACAAGATTTTTAACACAACACACTGGATATTTAACACAACACACAGGATATCTTACACAACACGCAAGATTTTTAACACAACACACTGGATATTTAACACAACACACAGGATATCTTACACAACACGCAAGATTTTTAACACAACACACTGGATATTTAACACAACACACAGGATATCTTACACAACTCACTGGATATTCAACACAACACACAGGATATTTACCACAACACACATGATATTTTACACAGCATACAAGATGTTGAACTTAACATACATGATATTTCACACTACACACTGGATATTTAACACAACCTAGGGGATATTAAAAGTCTAACAAAAGTTTATCTGATTACTGGGTACCTACATTTGTAGGATGCATTGATTTATTGAGGTATATTTCAAAACTTGTGATTTCTGCTCAGGAAGGTCAATCAGTTTTTGTGGCAAATTTTAAACAATTCTTAAACCTCTGAACAAAAGAGTATGGGTGACGATCTTACTATTGATCATCTGCCTTCTGCTGGTTAAAAACTGTGTTCCCTAAAGTATAATGTAATCATTTTGAAACTTTAAAGGGACTAGATGGTTAGGTTTCATTATTTTTTCAGATGCGTTTGATTTCAGGCAAGTATTGTAATACTTATAAATTAGACTATTCACAAAAGTATAGCACTTTCTGAGAGAAATTGATAAAATTGTCAGTTTCAAACTAACACTAATCAACACTCCTGTTGTGTCAGAGCAAAATAAAATAGTTAAATCGGTTATGAAATTTTAATCCCTTTAAAGATATGACATACTGCCTTTTGTAAGAATGACGTTTTTGTTTGTTTTCCATTTGTTTATTTTTATTATTATTAATCCAAATCTTTTAAGAACATATTACCCAGATTTGTTTTTCATCAAAATATTGATATTTAGAAAATGTGATGTTACCGTTTCCTCTGTGCAGTGAGTTTCTGTTCCTCTGTCTGGATGAGTACACGACGTTTTTCCTCAGCGTCCATAAGTAACTGTTGTTGTCTGTACCATGCCTCTTCCTCCTGTGTACGTTTCATCGTCTCCTTCTGCATCTCCAGTGACACTTGTCTGTCAATACATATATATACTTCACTGTCAATACAATTTATCCTCAGACTAGGAAACCCCTACTCGACAACCAGAAAAACCTGGCCATAGTTTATCAGTCAGAGGAAAATTCATGTCAATGGTGAAAGGGATTCCATAGTTACTACATAGTAACTGATAATTGTTTGAACAACAGCACTGCAAAATGGAATCTTAAGTTTGTGGTCAACAAACAGCAAAGTGGTACATAACAAAGGGCAAAATGCTATATTATGTCTCGTAACAAATTATTGAAATGCTGCATAAAACGTAACAGGAGCTCTTTTTTCTTGGCTTTAATGTATGATAAAATGAAAAATGCACATTCACAAGAAAAAAGAACAGCTTAAATTGTGAAAACCTTTTATTATGATATTCTATTTTCTAGATGAAAATATCATAACTGTTCAAATGTCCTAGAGGAACAAAGAAGTGCTAAGTTTATTATTAAATCTGATATCAGATGTCAATTTCATGGTGCCAATCTTAAGATGATTATTCCTCACACCGAGTTTGAACAAAATAAATTTCAAACTATGGAACTCCTACCTTTGGCGTAGATATTCCATTTCTTCCTGTCGTATTCTTTCACGTTCCTGAACCTGTAAAACAGTCACAATTGATAGTGTTACACCTCTTGTTTAACGTTGTGAAGGTAGACAGTCATGTGACCTTCTCCAATGACCTTGACCTTGTACCCAATGACATTTGTAGTTAATTGATACTCATTAAGATGTAATTTAAACCATATACCACAAGAGATATTAAATTTAACCAACTGGCTTAGACCATACAAGAAGGAGCAAAAAAGTAATCTTATAAACAATTATATCACTATATCATATATTTATGCTGTATCAACCAACACTAATTTTCAAAGATTTTTTATCACACGCGAAAAACTCTGCTTCTGTAAAAGTCTTCCTAACCTACTGTGTTCATTTACCTGGTAGTCTACTATAAACTTAGGGTATTTGTTGAAAACAGGGTACTGTCCCACAGTGAGAGGTTTAAACTGGGCCAGTGTTTTGTGGGGATGAATATCATCAGGTGTGGCCTCCATCAGTCGGTATGTCTCTTTGATAACTTGTCTCACATCTACAGCATTACGATGGTGGTAAAAAAACTGGAAATTTAAAGTTATATACATTGATAAATCATTGAGTAAATTATTTGATTGTGAATATAAAGATTTTCTCTAGGCTAACAATCACAATAAATAGTGAAATGCTTGTTCTGACAGAATTAAAGCCATACATAGATATCTATATCCTCAGACCATGCAAACAAAGAAAAAAAAACATTAACAGTGAATTTTTTCTCACAATTTGGCAATGGTCCATTTTTCAAGAAAAAGTTTTTGGAAAAACAAATTGCTATAATTAATAACGGTTGCATAAATGAAAACAACATTTTTTGCAACAGGTTACCAACCTTGAAATCATCCAGTTCAATACACTGCATCAGTGGCCCCCGGGCTGAGATAGTGTAGGCTACAACTGCCATTAGTAGGAAGGAAGGGTGATTACTGAAGACGTTATCCCAGAGCATCAACCATTCCTCCTTGGTCAGGACTTCAGAAAACAGCGTCTCCAACAGTGGCCAAGCATAGATCTGTCATTCACAAAAAAAAGGCTAACTATTGTGATAAGCTTAAAAAAATTTACACAGATACATAATTACCATTAAACTCTTTTTAGAAATTAAATATAATAATGAAAGATCACCAAGGGTATCATAATGTGCCAGACTATATACACAAAATCAGCAAGCATCAAGAATGCTGAAATGAGGAGAAATAAAGATAGACAAGGGACATAACTCTTGCCATTCTGAATAAAATTGGCTGCGAGACTGAACTTTCGAAATGAAATATGTGAAAGACAGGTAAATCAACAGACAGGCTGGACAAGATTCAAATAAAGTTGTTGTTGTTTGACTTTTGATGTAAGAAAAAGTGACTGACATTTACTTAAGTTTCTATGTACATGTGCTTCCTTCTGATTTCTTTAAAGGTTTATACTGCATGCTTCATGGAAAGTTTTGATTTATTTTGCTTAAACAACATTAAAAGTTGTAAGGGTTGTTTAATTGAATCTGAATATTACAAGGTAACCTTCAGAAGTAAAGTATAAAACAACTGAATCATGTTACCTTGAAAGTGATACTAGTTTATTGCACATATCAGTTAAACGTCACCACCCCAAAGCCTCTTGATTACTAAGGGAATTTTTTCTAAAGATTGTAAACCATATTCCACTAAAATAATCTGGAAATTTGTAAACCATATTCAACTAATATAACCTGAATATAGTGTCAAGAGTATCCATTTCAACAAACTAAGACAGTCCTGCATGTATACAGCAAAATATCATACCTCTTGACCTCTTGTTTATTCAGAAGTTGCTTAAAATTTTTTTTTAATGCACTTGACTAATTCCAAACTAAAATATTTGTCCTCATGATCAAATAGACATGAAATTTATTTTAATTCATACATACGTCAGTTACAGAGATTAAATAGATGGCTGGTTTAGACAGGTTTCAGATATATCTGTCTCCAAGATCAGATTTCCCAAAATCAAAGACATACACTAGAGATTGGCAGCTGGTTCACACAGATATAGGTCTCACTACAGAAATTTAGTGCTGTCAGTGCAATTATGTTAAATTTACATTTATATGCTTACAAAGTTTATAAAATGTATACAGAAACTTTTTCAAGGAGAACATATATTTACCTTTAGCATAAACCTTTAAGACAATGGTATCCACAGAATATCTGACAAAGGTCTAATTACATGTGTTATTGAATACATACATATTTCATGCTGAACTCAGCACAACATGTACTGCTCTGAAAAATTCCACCAACTTGTTTCACAATCATGTAAGTTGTATTTCAATTATGACAGTTCACCTCCTTAAATATGACACCAAAGGCATTGAATTTTAACAGACCTTTCTTTCCTTCATTTTATCATATTTTTTCCATTTTTTACAAAATGTAGTAAGACATTCCAACTATTGTCAATTATAATCTAACAAAGCAGAAAACAGATATGTATGTATTCAAATGACCAGAAAAATAGTGAGTAAAAAAATAAAACATCAACCATTTTTTCAAAGTTTCATTTTAATATTTATTCATAAATAAAAACGAATAAGCTTTTACAGCACTTTTTGCAAACATATTTTCAGTTTCTTGAAACAAAAATTATAATTATATCATAATTATAAATTAATTATATATACCATAAACTGTACAAATATGGACAGCTAAATATTCATAAATACTGTACACAATATACAAAAAGTATATACAGCTATAGAATCTATATAATCACACATTTATAAACGTGGATGCTTCTGATTACATTGCAATGTCCTGGGATTATTCCGTATGTAAAGGGAGATAATCCTATAGTCATCTGATAGCACAATATTTGTATTCTTTATATTTAAATATATATATATACATGTATATAAATCTGGTATTTCTGTCCAAAAAAACCCATTATATATCAATCAAGATAATGTTCACTTAGGTCTACAGTTATTTGTAAAACTCATTCCAAAATAGTGCAATACATTGGCTCTATGGTCCTTTAGTGTAAATCCCTGTATTTTAAGAGTTTTTTTTGACATGTACATGAGGTCCAGTATTTCTGAAAGCTACTGGTTATCTAATTTGAATGTTTGAACATGAAATATGGTACACTGGCTATCCCACCGCTAAGTAATGAATAACTTTCTATTATCTGAACGTTGATGGCACACAAAATCATGTCTCTCCCAACTAATCAACACTTTGAGAAGACGATAGTTCATTCAGGATTGGCCGACTGAAGACTGTAGAACTGTGAACAATACCTGATAACTGACGTATGATATCACCGTAGAGACGTGGAGCCTTGTCTTGCCCTCCTCCACGACCTGTCAGTTCACTACATATGGAAAGTAATTTCTTCTCCACTTGTTGTTTTTGTTTCTTAGGTTTTGTATTACTGGTTCTATTTCGTTTGTTGGCGAACCAGGCCTTGACCTGTGCCAGACTTAATCCTCCGTCCCTCGCCATTTGTTCTTTTTCTTCCTCTGAAGGATAAGGATTGTCTATGTGTTTTTCGTACCAATCACACATAAGACTTACACCTCGGACATTTAGTTGCCGTGACCTTGACCTCCCCTGAGCTGTGTTGGTGGTTGTGGAATCTGCCACAGTTGGTAGGGCAACCTTGAGGAGCTGTAGACTAGATGTAATTCTGTGTGTTAGATGCATGCGCTGGTGATCATGTACCTTGTGAATCTTACTGACTTCACTTTGATAGAAAACTGTGTCAGTCTCCTGTGCCTTCAACTTTTCAATAGCAGAGCAACGTTCCCTCTCAATATCCTGACACTGTTCACTGTAGAATTGGTGAAGCTGGTGAACTTTTTCTGAGTTGTGGGCAAACACACGCTGAAAGTCTGACTGTAAATTAGCTTCCTGTACAGCAATGAGAGCAGGATCCAATATCACAGGTACAGTCTCTTCTTCCATTGGAGCCACGCCTTCCCGACACAAACTGAAGGGAAGGGTCTGAAAGTTTTGGTAGCATTCACTGGTCAATGTCGCCTGTAAGTCCTCAAACATTGGATGTGTCGATAGTTTAGCCAGCTCTCCACCAGCAGGTGAAGATTCTGACTTAATCAACAGAGCCATTTCTGTAGTACACCTCCTGTTCAGCACTATAACTTCTCACACAGTTAATGGTTCTCGCTGGGTATCAGAACCACACAACACTATACAGTGTATTAATATACAACAAAGCACTTCACTCCACTGTTGATGAAACAAACTTTCGGCTTCTCACGAATACAGGAAAAACTACTCTTTTTTTTCTTGTCAATTCTGATAGTTCAGTTTTTACACAATTGTAAGTATCAATAACTTATCAAAAAATGTATTGATATATCCAAATGTCAAAGTTAGGATCAAATTCCTCTGACGACTGAACCCAAGCAAAATGTCAGAAAAATATATTCAAGGCACCAATTTCAGAGTGCCCTTGTGATCTGCTGGGACACATTACAGAAACTGTTGAACATTTCCAAACTGATAAGTATTCATGGAAGAAAGTATTCAAACATCCAATCATAGTTGACTTCTTCAACTTTTCAGCCAATCAGAGACAGGCTGTGTCATAGAGTGTGGGTTGGCAGGGTGTGAAAGGTCACTAGTGTTAACTAACACTCAAGTACAGTCACAGGTAAAACAACGGGTGAATTCTGGTCAATGGTCAAAACATAGACACTTAAGACATCTGACAGTTGATCACACCAAGCTTAGAAAGGAATAATCTTACAATATGAATTCTTGAAAATTCACATGTAATTTTGTAATTCAAAATGTATTAATTATTGAATTCACATTTCAGAATTAATTACATTTACACTTTGTTATACATGTATCATGCCATATATTAGATATAATTATATTTTGGGAACTCAGAAATGTGATTAATTAATTGGTAAATGAACATTGGTATTCAGAATTCAAAGAAAAATTATCTATAAACACGAATTATGAAAACATTACAGACAAGTTTTAAGGAGTTTTTCATTTTGAAATCTGTTTCAAAATAAAATGAAAATGAGTTATGAGTACATAGTGTATCAAGTTATTTAAGAATTATTACTTTACTGAAGAGGACAAAGCCAGATTATTTATGTTTTTGTATAAAGCACATGATGCCAACTTAATTTAACAATAACTATTGTAAACAGTATGAATTTTCATCAGCGTTTATTAAACACTCTTGCTGGGTCGTAAGAAGACAGAATGTCATATCCTGTAAATATGGGAATATTTCTAACTATACAGAATATGTACATGGTTGGAATGGTGACTTTTTATGTCTTATCAGACAATTACATGATAACAGAGTACATACTATCATTGGAAATATAAGTGTGATAACATACAACATTTCCAAACCATAACAAATATGTCTGTTACAAATGATTACTTTTATTACCTATAATACACTACTGTTTCTAATTTTGATACTGAAACTGGCAATGTTCTGCTATTTCCAAGAGAAAATGTTACAATACATGGCCAATTTCAAACAATATCTCTTTTGGTTTCATGCCCTAAGGTGGTAGCATTAAGTTGAGCTTCAGTGTCCCTAGGTAGGAGATTAGCAGTCCCTAATTGTCCAAAGATGGGAGACTGGTAAGATCTCTTTGTGTCTCATGCCCAAATGTATGAGTATTTACTTCAGTCTCTGTGTCCCTTGGTGGGAGATTAGCAGTCTCTAATTGTGCATTATGTCCCAGGATGGGAGACGGGCAAGGTCTCTTTGTGTCTCATACTCCAGGATAACAGTATTAAGTCATGTCCTGTCTCTAATCCTCAGGGTGGGAGATAAGTAGTGCCTCTTCATGTCTCATGCCCAAAAATAGTGGTATTTAGTTGTCTTTGTGTCCCCAGGTGGGAGATTTAAGCAGTGTCTCTTTGTGTCTTGTACTCCAGGATAACAGTATTAAGTCATGTCCTGTCTCTAATCCTCAGGGTGGGAGATAAGTAGTGCCTCTTCATGTCTCATGCCCAAAAATAGTGGTATTTAGTTGTCTTTGTGTCCCCAGGTGGGAGATTTAAGCAGTGTCTCTTTGTGTCTTGTACTCCAGGATAACAGTATTAAGTCATGTCCTGTCTCAAATCTTCAGGGTGGGAGATTAGCAGTGCCTCATGTCTCATGCCAAAAATAGTGGTATTTAGTTGTCTTTGTGTCCCCAGGTGGGAGATTTAAGCAGTGTCTCTTTGTGTCTTGTACAGGTAACAGTATTGTGTCCTGTCTCAAATCTTCAGGGTGGGAGATTAGCAGTGCCTCATGTCTCATGCCAAAAATAGTGGTATTTAGTTGTGTCTTTGTGTCCCTAGGTGGGAGATCTAAGCAGTGTCTCTTTGTATCTCCTATTCCAGGAAAACAGCATGTAATCCCCAGATGGGGATATTAGAAATGCCTATTTGTATCTCATGTCTGAGGTGACAGCACATGTATTTTGTGTCTCTCTTGTGTTCCAGCATAAGAGAATGGCAGAATATCTTTGTGCCATATGTCATGAGGTGGCTGTATCTAGTTGTGTCACAGGGTGTTAGATTAACAGTGGCTTAATATCCCATTTCCCACAGTGGCAGCATGTAATTATGTCTCAAGTGTCCTGGGGTGGATATTGTTAGTGTGATTTTGTGACTCATGCCGTCCAAGGGATGGAGGTAGGTAGTTTCTCAATCTCCCTGTGTCTTATGTCCGAAGGTGACAGTATACAGTTGGGTCTCCAGTGTCCGAAGGTTGGATATTGTCAATGTTATTTTGTGACTCATTGCGTCCGAGGGATGGAGGTAAATAGTTTTTCAATCTCATTGGGTCTTAAGTCAGAAGGTGGCAGTATACCGTTGGGTCTCCGGTGTCCCAGGTTGGGATATTGTCAATGCCATTTTGTGATTCATGCCATCCCAAGGATCGAGGTAGGTAGTTTCTCAATCTCCTTGTGTTTTATGTCCAGAGATGGCAGTATAGATCTCAAAATCACATATGACCTCCAAATTAATGATCTAATTTCAGGTTTCAGGCATTAGTCATACCAAAATATGCAAGCTACACTGAGAAACAGATTTAAATATAATGTATCACAGCTAACCTCCATGAACATTACCAAGTGTATCTCATTTTCAAGCGGTATCAAATCGACAAATGTCGCCATATCAACAAAACATCACTATGATTCAAAGAAATGATAAAGATTGATGCTTTTAAATGCAAGTGTTTTATACCATGTAGGAAATAACCTGTATCAAAAATCTGTTTGAAACACTTGCAATTGTTACAGTATCCTTTAGTAGAGATAGCCAAATTGGTTTGAGATGATATCATTATTATAATTATCATTTCAGGATTCAAAATTTCATGATCACATTAATGCCTCATAACAAAGTGAAAACATAATTCTCGTAAAAGTAACCAGTATATGCTAAGTCCCTTTCATCCATTGATGCTGTCTTTAAGATAATTTTGAAATAATGCCAATTATTTTCATAGAGCCTTCTATTTGTCCTTGGAAAGATCATACAAGTAAAAGTGTTGAATCTGATATCCCTGTCTGTAGTAAATCATAAGATTAAAATATCAACCCTTTTTACCAGTTTAGGATTTCCATATAACATCCATGGAATGGGACAGGAGGATTCCCCTTACATATATATGATAACATGTTAATGGTGCAACCCCCCCCCCCCCCCCCCCCCCCCCCCCCCCCCCCCACAACCTCAAAAAAAAAAAAACCCCAAGGAAGGCCAGCTAGGAAAATATATTGATAATTATTCACTCCTTTGGTGGTGAAATAGGTGGATCTTACTGACACAAATTTAGTTTGAAAGTATCAAGATCATCATCCTCTTGTCCACAACAATTTATTACCTTTTAGTTAGTAAAACGATGGAAATGATCAGTTTGGTGAATCTAGATCTGCAGCTGTGATGATAATTTCCTAAATCAGGTGATGTAACTTTTTGTATTGATCAATCATGTTAGTGCATTCCATTTTCTGCACTGAAATCCACATTTTAATTTGCTGAAATGAACCTATCAGAACAATGTGTTCTATGTGACAAGCTTTGATGAGCCAGTTTAAAACATGGTTTTACATAAATATGGTACATACATTGTTAATCTTGACACTTTGCTGTCGTTAAAAAATCATTTTCCATACTTTTATAGCAGTGTAACGACATTTTTTGTCTACCATATTTATCTGGTAAGAAGCCCTTGATTTGATTTGTTACAAACCAATATTATTTGATTGTTCTGTAATAAGCCCATCTAATATAATGTGTTGGTCTCCTAAGCTAACTGCACAATACAAATGATACCAAAATTTCATCTGAACATTTTTGTATACATATACGTTGCAAATTTATCTAAGAGAGGTAATATGTAATACCAATTTATAAACACTCAAACAGTGTCATCTGTTAAAACTGGATATCATTGGAACCTGGTCATATAACTTGTAAAAATGGAGCTTCAAAATCATTTGTTAAGTCTAATTGTCTGTGTGTAATAGAATATCTTTGGAATATTAAAACAATACTCTAGTAGGACAGAAGGAGTTCAGACAGATGCTGCTGCATTACATTTTAAAGTTCCAAGAAGTTAAAGCTAGAAATATACAAAAGTACTGTGAGTAATTATGTCCTGATAAACAAAGCCGGTTTTTTATTATCGCACGGACTAGCTAAACCAATTTTATTCATCAATGAAATAATGATTGACACAGTGATCTGATTTTGTTTTCTGTTGGGCATGGACAAGGCCTTTCAGGATCTATGTTACATAATATCTGTTGATCCATCACCATTTATGCCAGAAATGCTACATTAATATGTTCACAAGCCATTTTTCCCATGAAAATGAAAGAGGTCAAAGTGGCCTGTTTTAAGAGGTTCTACAGCAGACAATAAATTAGAAAATCCACTAACCTGTGATGTGACACCATACTTGACGAAGTGTTGAAGGAGATATTTGTCATGGTGAGCCAGCACATTCTCTATCAAACTCAGGATATTTATAGGAGGGTTGGGGAAATACTCAAACCAGTGTTCTGCCCAGTTCTCTGTGTAAAATCAAAATGTTTGTGTCAGTTTATTTTATAGATAAACACTAAGACTAACACACCTAGAAATCTCGGATATAGACTTTTCTTCTTTTGTACCTTTTTCTTTAAAAAACATGAAATCATTTGAAAATGGAAAATAATACATTAGACAAACAAACTTTTTTTATCTTCCATTAACTGAATATCAATTGAAAAGCCTCATTGTTGTTTTCAGTACGTTTTATCATATCTTAATTCATAAAGTAATTCTTTATCTATGTGAAATTTGCTTTGAAATCTGTCATGGTGATAACAAAAATATGTCAACAGTTTTCTGTTCTTTATTTATACTACATACAACTAAAGGCAATGAGACGTTCAATTCCCTATTTAATCCTGTAGAGAAATATCTTAATATATATGGAAGGTACACACATTTCAATTCAACCTACCCATGATTGTGGCGATGATTTCAAAGCAGACTAGATGGTTGTTCTGGAACAGCTTGACAAATGGGAATGCAAGCACAGGTAGATACTGTGTCTCTCCAAAAATAGGGGACCAGTGGGCAAGTGCGGACAGGATTCTGAAAAATATTGTAATAATACTACCTTACTTTTCATATCACAATATGACAGAGGAAATTTGTGTACCATTATGTACCATTATAAGATCAGGCAGAATCATGTTGCACAAAAAGAGAAGAATTCCTAGTGTATCACTATAAGATAGGAGTGCCTGCATAACTCAAGACCATCTCAGGTTAATATATATAAAGAGAGTAGTATGATGCTTCACAGTAAAACCTTCACTAAACTACATTATAACTAAAGATTTAATGCCTCGTGCATAATGACTGGAACCTACCTCTGAAGGACTCTGAGGAGCTTCCTACTCTTTATAGGATACTCTTCCTGTAGGTTGACATATGCAGGATGAGTGCCTTTATCTACAAGAGCTGCATAGGCAGTGTGGTTCTCAGGAAGTCGTAACACGGATCGCCAAATAAACATTCGGTATTTACTTGGATATTCTCCATATCCCTTTAATATAGCCGTTAATCTTTCCATATTTAGTCTCTCAGGAATCTCAATCTGTAAGATCACAAAAAACAGGTTTCTGACTCATGTTTCTTAGATCATGTACGAAACAACAAACATCAATTCAACTATTACATATCATTAATGGCCGTCTCAGTGTCACCAATATAAGGCTGTTTACTACATTAACACACAATAAATTTGATGACTTACTTCCCTTGATCCTTGGAGCTCTCCAGTCATTTTATTCTCCTTTCCTCCTGCATGACCTTTACCCTTTTGTTTGAGGCTGGGCTTGGTAGAAGTATCAGCCATTTTATTACTGGACACTACCTTGACTAACGGAGCAGGTGGCTACAAAAAATAATGAGAAAGCATTAAGGAAAAGATTTTGTAGGTTATATTAATTTACATAATAATTAAATATGGACAAAGAATATTAACTCAGAAAACAGATCCAAAGTAGTGATGTTTGTTAATTGATTTGTCATAAACACGGTTGAAATTAAAATGATGAATTAATACAACACTCATATTGATACAATCATTTGTATCAAGAAACTCTATATGCTAAATGTTGCTGATTTAAATCCATGCTGACAGCCAGACTGTCCACCATACACTTAATGAACATACTTACTTTGTTGAGTTCAGAGGACATTACATGTAGATTATACACATTCAGGCTTCCGTCCTCCATGACTGCCGATAGGTGGCGCCCTGATGAGCTAATGGTGATATTGTTGATCTTATTATCTATACTTCCAACATCAAATAATAACTTGCAAGAGTTGATGTTGATGAAGCGGACGATACCATCCTGACTGAGGACTCCTAGCACCTGCAGAAAATACAGACCTAACCTGGTGAACGTGACATGTAAGTGATAGATATTGACAAAGATACATGTCTGGTGAGTAAGATGACAGTTAAGTCTGATGTAAGTGATAGATATTGACAAAGATACATGTCTGGTGAGTAAGATGACAGTTAAGTCTGATGTAGGTAATAGATATTAACAAAGATACATGTCTGGTGAGTAAAATGACAGTTAAGTCTGATGTAAGTAATAGATATTAACAAAGATACATGTCTGGTGAGTAAAATGACAGTTAAGTCTGATGTAAGTAATAGATATTAACAAAGATACATGTCTGGTGAGTAAAATGACAGTTAAGTCGGATGTAGGTAATAGATCTAAACACAATGATATCATAATATTTGTGATACACAAAACTATCCACAGAGAAAGATATTCCAGCTACTCCACAGAGCTTAAATTTCTTAAAGGATTTTTCAAATGACAAGTGTTGAAGACCCAGATCTTAATATGATCAGTCAGCTGTTTTTAAAGTAGAACCAGCATATGTACATAGGACAAATGTACAACAAAAGAAACATATATTATTTAACCAGTTGAAACTCAGAAAGTTTCATAAACACTGACCTGAGTAGTTATTTCAGATTTCTACAGCGTGATCCTGATTTTAAAATTCATTCATCACTCAAAAACAAAATATCAAAACCACATCCAGTAGTAATGAAAGTAAACAGTGTACCTGATTGGCTCCTGCATCAAAGTTGTCTGGGAGGAAGACCATTTGTTTGACCGAAGTCACCTTGACAGGTAGCTCAACAATGCGTAGAAGTCTATGTGTGTCTAAGTCCCAGAGATGGATGAACCGTGACTTTCCTCCGGCTGCTAAGATTCGTCCATCTCTAATAAGAGAAACACAAATAAATTACAGACATAGTGTTTAATAAATGTCAAGTCTTAATCACAATGAATTTGTGTAAACGTACTTTGAACAGTAAGTATCAAGCAATTCAGTTCACATGCACATCACAGTGGCCATCTCTATAATTGCAACTCACAGGTCAACTCAGGAAAATAGATATTTTAATTCTTAATAGAAGTGTAGCAATTCTGAGAGATAATAATATATTGTCAATCATTTTCAACAGAGAGCAGTCACTTCCAGTCATCAATTAAATACTAAATAATCAATGATAAAAATGAAGTGAAGCATGAAGTATGACAATATAATACTGTAATTAGCACTGCCATATCATTGGATAAATAGGATTGGTATAGCTTTCAAACAGAAGGTCAAAGGTCATCAAAAGCCCATTTATAAATATGAAGCTCTGTATACAATTGCTTGATCATGTGATCATGTTATGGCTCCTGATATTGATAAACATTTCTGTAGAGCTGTTTTTATAACAGGTGATGCAACATTAAATCAAAACAGAATAAATCTGATGTGCAAAATATCTGTATGCTTTGATAATTGTGAAATACAGTTAAAATTCAATGGGAAAATATTAATAATATCTTCTATATACGTACTCAAACCTAATCCATACTTACTTGGTAGATATGAAAGCTCTGTAACGTGGACTGTTTCCAGGAGGTACAGGTAACTGGTATTTACACTTCAAGGTGTCAGACTCCCAGGCAAATATTGTGTCATCTTTGAAGCCAGTTATTATCACATTGCTGAGTGGTAGAAAGAATACCTAGAACAAAAAATTACTTAATGCTCAAAATTGTTAGAATATTATTCTTTAGTACCGTAAAAACCCACGTAATTCACATTGTAATGTCCGCATACACTCTGGGGAAAAAACCCACCTTCCATGTAATGTCCGCGGGTAAAAAATGCAAATTGAAGCTATTTCATCACGTACGCTAATAATGGCCGAGAGCTCGCATTGTGTATAACATACAGGTACCATTCAAGAATTCACTTAATTGTTTATAACAACAGTTATTCTCCATAATGGTACAGTAAGCTTACCAGTATGACAAGTCCTCATTTCGATAAGTGGTATAAGGGTTAGCCCAGCAGTGTTATAAACAGCTTGGGTCATCTCCTCACCTCGAGTGTGAGTGAGTGACAGCGTGTGATTAGCCAATTAATGATAACTATACAGTAACATGACCCACGGCGCCACTGACCCTACTGACACACCATCAGACGACGAGAACGCCATTTATTACAACATCATAGGAAAAACCATAGAACGATAATATCAGGTATGCTTGGCTTTTAAGAACACAAGGAAAAAAGTGTCATTTCCTCTATATCTCTGTAATGTCCGCAGATTGGGCGGACATTACATGGGTTTTTACGGTAATTCACATTGAATATAACTCATAAGTAAACCAAAATAACTCTTTGTGAGCTCTAGAATAACACACCTGTACAATTCCAACATCCTCCTTGATGTTCAGTTTGCGTTTACGTTGGAAAGTGTCAAGATCCCATAGTTGGGCTGTATCTGTTGAGGTTGTTAGAGCATATCTTCCTGATGCATGTACAGAAATGTCTCGGATCGCAGACTCGTGCCCTTTCATCCATGCAACCATTTCTTTTGTATCTAAGGAACGAAAAACAATAGCTGTTATGAAAAAGGGTATGTGAAATGTCAATAGTAACTATAGTAAGAGGTAGTCTTGTTTGGAGACATGAATGTGAAAATGCATTAAAAAATGTGGAATAAACAGATTGTTTACAAGCCTCATCATGCCTTGATGCTATTTCATTACTCAAAAGTCAATTCCAAATGTCAAGTTTGACCTCTCAAGTTGTTGGATAATAGAAAGCACTCTCAAATATAGTGCCAAAAATAGCACATGCCAATTTTCTAAACAAGGCTGCAGTCATGTACATGACAATAGTTACACTGAGCAGAGAGGTCATTGAATATATTGACCATAATATATATTCTTTAGTTAGAAACACTTAGAGAAGAATTGGTAATGTACGTAATGACCATCAACACCAACCAGTATCAAAGCACTTGAGTGAGTAATCTGACAGTCCCACAAGGAACTCAGACTTCCGACGAAGGTTGAATGCTACAGCAGTACAGGGATGTCCAGTCTTTTGTCCGAGAAAAAATCTACAAAAAACATTACATTTTTATCATTTAAATATAGAGAAATATGACATTGACTGTGTCCTCATGAAAGATACTTGAATATTAAACATATGAGCAAAACATATTCGTTATTACTGAAGACTGCACACTTGGAAAGATACTTAAATATTACACACATGAGTGAAATATAATTGTTGTTCTTGACGATGCTGTAAAACATTCTCTATTCATCTGGTTTTTTATTAAACACATCAAATCTTAAATAAAACAAACAAGTACATGACTTTTATTAAACAAATCCCATCATGTACACTTATATAATGAAGACTGCTATCTGAATATACCTTGAAAATTATTAAGTAAAGAAAGACATATGTTTTTCTCTTAAGATAAAAATCCTAGGACACAGAAAGAAAACCAGTACAATTGTATGGCTCTTACCTGTTTTTGTTGAGGTCAAATATGTAAACATTGCCCTGGTGATCCCCAGCCACGAAAGTTTCTGTCTGGCCATCGTATGCAGTATGAAGAAAACGAACATTGCGACTGAACTGAGAGAGGCTTCCTGCCTGACTATGATTGATATTGACCATCAACCTACAGAAACATAGATATCCAGGAATTATTTGTAAATAAGTATCTCTTAAGACTGGGTGTAAAATCTAAGCCATTACATGTACATTAACATATTACAAAACTCTTCCATTTAAACTGTTAATTTTATCACCAATGTTGATTTATATAACATATTATATTCATTAACAGAAAATTTGTAAGATTGAAAAGCTAGGAGTTTCTGTTCAAAAAAACAAAGAGGCCTTAAAGTTTGTGACAGAATAGCTTAAAAGAGTTATATAAGATACACCATTTCATCTCCTTACCCATTATCAGCTGATGGCGTTGGCTTACGGTGCCATATTTTTCCATTTGTCTTGTGAGCTACATCAAGTGACTGCATGATGTATGTTGACACTTATTCACTTTAGCCTGTACTTCAACTGATTTGTATTTGCTGACTTCAACCTCTTATATACATCATCATTCTAGAACCAATCTGAAAATTAGATGTAATATATGTATGTATATAATATACTTTTTTTGGTCAGAGTGACATCTGATTTATGTAACTGCATCATTTCCCCATCACTGACAAATACATAGATTTCTTATATTAATGTAAGAATTGATACAATTTTCATATTGTATTTATACTAATCGGTGTCAGGTTGTTTCGGTAACAATTCATTTTGGGAAAAAGTCAGAATTGAGGCCAACGCGCTCAAAACAATATTTCAACTAATGAGAGAAAAAAAGGCTGCCATCTTGGGTTTTCTACGCCAGACTTATGAAAATGACCAAGTTCCATTATAAAAGTTATAATTAATAGGTGCATATCTTCAACATATGTGTATAAACATCCTACAAAGTTTCAAGCTTCTACGTCAAAAACTCTAGGAGTTGATTCTACAAAACTGGTACCCCTTTTCCCTGCCCACCCACCTGACATTCACCATACTATAACCCGGATTTGCACTATGTGCAACCCAGCTAAAAATTGATATTTGAAAACAGATACCTGTTAGGGTACACTAATATTACATATTACAAAGCATTTGTGAATCCTGTAAACTCTTGTGCAGTCGCTTGAACTGCAGGCGACACTGCCAGATATACTGTGATTTGGGACATGACCTCAATCATTCGGAAGTGGTAAAGTATTATCAATGATCCAGATAAGCTACATAATAGCATATTTAACCCCTTAAATTGATGGAATATGCATTGATGATAAATTTCATGCATATCCATTACATAATCACACTCTCATTTACCCAACAATGTTTAATAACATGCATATGTAATTGAGACTTTACCAAACACCCCTTCTAACTTTGTACATGTATAATTATAGTTATATCAACAATTTTCCCCACTCTAACTAAACTTGTAAGCAATGATTCTGATATGTCTCATTTCTAAGTTGACCATTACCGAGAATGGCAGGCAAATTTAATCTACTTTTCAACACTAGAGCAATGGTGAGTGAAATCCTTGAATATATGAGTAACAACTATTTTAGATTGGTTTCATTTGCTAGATTAAGAAATTATCACACAAGTCATACTGCAAATGAAAATATACTCACAGCATAGCATAAACTAAATCATCTTTAACCCTAAGGTTGGAAAAGTAATTAAGAGTAGTTTACCTATTGGTCAAAAATTATCTGGAGCAATGTAATATGAAGACTGATCAAAGTTATCTGTCATCTGTTGCATTCATACTGATAATATATATAATGACAACCAATCCATTACATTCCATCAGGTATCGGTTTAAGATATAAACATCTGTACTTTATCAAGTTATTAAGTTCCTTCCAGTATGTGAACTATAACCCTTGAAACCGTCGCCAGATTTGTCATTGTCTCTATGAATGCAATCATAGTGATATATAAAGAAAGAGAATGACTGCCATCAGGAGTACATCATGATTATGTATCTGTCACCCGTTGCATTTATATTGAAAAATATATATATTTATAATGAGAACCATTCATACATTCCAGCGGGTATCGGTTAAGCTATCTGAGTATTTGAACTGTAACTCCCGATCTAACGCAGTAACGGCAGACTGCAATAAAAAAAATAGATTTGATTGAATTTAGAGATTTGTGGGTTTGGGGAACATTTTTGTCCCATTATATTTAGTTGAGCTTCCTTGAAAAGAAGTGAAAAATATCCACATTATAACTCACGGAAACATGTACTCTCATGGTCACGAACTGGCGAAGACTAAGTAGACGTAGTTGATTGCTGTCAGGGGATAAAATGAATCGTGATCAAATAAACATCTAGTAATTGTGTAATACAGTACCGTCTAAACAGTGTCCATGACAGCAACAAGGGGTTTTCCTAGATATATTGTCCATGAATGTCATCGTGTCTTTATACTAAATCCTCGTGTTTACATGTGAAGCGGGATCGGACATGTTTTCAATTTTGACGCCAGTGTTAAGTAAATATGCAAATTTTCATGTGGAATAAAAAAATAATCTTAACAAAGGAAAATGTTTAAAAAGTTGCCTAATTATATTTTTCATTTATCTAGAAAGAAAGAATTTGATTTGAATTATGTATGGTCGCATGAAAGTGTATTGAAAAATTTTCTTTGAGTGCGTTTCGCCTCTGACGAATATGAATGACCGGGAGGCTTTCGTTTATGTGGTTGGAACGATACAAATAGTATTAAAAATAAAATAACCCATAGCAGTCCCATAATTCACACGTTGAGATATGAATTGCGTAATACTGGAGTTTTATTGTCCGACATGCACGGCTAATTGCATTCTAATTTTGAATGAAAATAACATTTCGTTATTGAACTTTGCGGGAGAGAGAAAATCCGGGATATGTATCCGCCAGTAAATTTAGTAATCAGATAGAAGCTTCCGGTTAAATGAAAGCGAAGACAGGTACACGTCAGGCTAAGGCAACTGAATATACTCACAAGTTTAGTGTGGTAATTCATTGAGAATCAAACATGGCTTCAAACGACATTGGAGACTGGTATAGAGGCATTCCGTTTTTAACGAAATATTGGTTTACTGGATCCGTAGTGGTGCCCATATTAGCCCGATTTGGCATCTTGAATCCGATGTGGTTGTTTCTACATTATGAGTCTGTCGTGTATAAGTTTCAGGTAGATCTACGTAATCATCTTTCATAATAATGATATATCATTTGAAATCATGATATAATTCTAGGTAAGCAGGAAGGACGTAAAAAATAAACAAGATTTTTTCATTTTTATAAAACACATGTTAAAAACGAAGTTAACTCGGCTGATGTAACAACTTTTGTAACTGATTGCCAAAATGTTTACAGCGGGAATATTATTGATATTTCAAATAGGGATAATATTTATGTCCTATTGAGATCACCGAGACTTAAGATTTTTGAATTATAAATATGTTTGTTCCTGACTCCGTGATATTACAGGCAAGCATAAATAGGTACCTTAGAAATCATCATTTGGTGTACTGTAGTTTATGGTTGGAGGATATACAATAACAATGTATAGAGAATGGTTGGAGGATATACAATAACAATGTATAGAGAATGATTATACTAGTATTGTTCAAGTAATAAGAGACATGATCATAAACAGTTTGTTGAAGTATGTATCAGATCTTCCTTCGGCCTATCATAATACTTCTGATACTGTTTTGGAAAGGACTAATTAGATATAAGTTAACCTGTAACAATAGAGAATACAATTTCACAAGGCCATTAAATTCAAGTGAATTTTGATGGAACTTCATTTAATATTAGTTTACATTTGTTTTTGATGTCAACATGTAGTGAACATTTCTCAATTTTATGAATCTTTATAACTAAATGTGAGTCTTCGATAATCTTATATAAGCCTGATGATGAGATAGTGTATGTATTCCTGTGTCTGCTAGTTAAATTCTGACATACATTGTATATCTTTGATATATTACATTGATATATTTTTTTATTTGTAGTTTTGGAGACCATTGACGTCTGTGCTGTTCTATCCTATATCTGGAGGGAATGGATTCCATTACCTAATAAATTTATATTTCTTATATTCATACTCGACACGTTTGGAAACAGGTATGTAAAAGAACAGGACAACTACATATGTGTCTACACATTTTTTGTATGTCCTTTATGTCAATGTCATGATACATTACCATTCTGTTTAATGTTAAAATCCTTTGGTAATTAATTGTGACACAAATGACAATATAATAATTTGTACTTTAACATTAAAAATGTAAAGGGAAATTATTCAGATACTGATATTCCTCAACTCAAATAAAAATATGATATTCTTTCATTGCTAAACAACTTTAATCCTGCATATTTACTTTTACATTAACTACCAGGAATCTTTGATGGAAAGCCTGCAGAATACCTATTCATGCTTCTCTTTAACTGGTTATCCCTGGTGGTATCCTTTGTCATCTATTTGATCACCATAATCTGTTAGATATTGACTGTACAATATATATTAGATTTACGCGAAAACATTTCCTCTTGTACAAATGCAGTAAGTCAATTCTTATGATTTATATTGTAATAAGCTTATCGCATTGGGTCTAAACATGAACTTGTTGAAGTCAGAGGATCGACAAACTATATATACATTTATCTATCAGGATCGGAAACGCGTTGACCGTCTTTATCACTAGCTCTCCACCTCTGGGTCATGAAATTAAGGCCTAAATGCAGCAGTTACTGGCCACAGGACAGTGTTTTTTTCTAGGAACTCCAGCTTTTGAAGTCGTGAAACTTTCAAAACAGTATGCATGTGCAGAATCCAGTTAGAATGTAGTGAATGGCTTCAAGTAATATACATCTCTTTTTTTTACAACATTTTCAGTACAAGTTTAGAAGGACAGAATAAAAATAGTTTCAGTATTTAGTAGGTGTAGTTATATTATCCTCTAGCACCAAATCCAGGTTTCGGACCAACGTGAAGGAATCTGTATGTTGATAGGTTTTTTGGTGTTGTTGTCACCTCTGTCAAAGTACTTGGCTTGGACCAATAAATAGTTTAATGAAATATGCTGAAACACAGACACCAAAATATTGACCTGTTGTGCATAAACTTTCCATTCAAATGACCAATTCTCAATAACCAAAAGGCCCAGGGTGCCGATATTAGGTTGTAGTATAATGGGATATAGGGGTACCAAGTTGGATGATACAAAAGACCTTGACCCCATTTCAAGGTCACAGGGGTCAAATATGTTAGAATCTTTGAACAACTTCATCTCCATAACCAAAAGGCCTCACTGTAGTGCATGTATAAAGATTATGATTTCAACTTCGCAGAAAATGTCTTTATGAACCATCCAATGTCTTCTATGAAGCTATAGTGTAGTTGAACAATTTATTTTGAGCCTATTTGGCTCCTTTCACATATAGATCTTCATAATGAGATGATCCTGTGGGCCTCTTGTTTTCTTGGAAAGGGTTGTATTCCTTTCTTTTATATGTCAAAATATGTTTGACAAATGACTTTGTTTGAGCTTGTATGTTTGAGCTGACCTTATACTGTGTAGCCAGAGAAATATGATAATGAATGTAATGGTGGCTAAAAGAGTTTCAATGTTTTTGTTGTTTTTGTTTTTCCTTACATGTAATAATCAGATAATTGGACTTATTGGTGAAATCTTTGTAAGTATTTTTTTCTGAATATCAGATTTCAATATGCAAAATCTCATTTACTCTGTGCGTTGAACCTATGTAGTCCACACAATAAATACTGTATTTCTGTTTTGAAGATTGTACTTTCTTTGTTACCAGCTGGCTACTTTAACATGAGGGAATTATGCAATGTTTCATGAACTCTGTCATACTTAAATGTAATATTCATACTTCAATATTGGTTTTTGAAGATTTTATTTTTCTTTAAACAAAATGTTTCTTAGAACCATAAATCTTTACTGAAGATACTTTAAACTCTAAAGATGGTAAACAATATGAACACAATTGTAATCTGTTTCTGGTATAGATCTACTGCTCTGTAGACCTAGAGAATTGTTGTCCATTTCTTTTTATATCTTTTATGTATTAGTTATTGATGGATCCCATGGTCCTGAGTGTTCTGTATGTGTGGTGCCAGCTAAACAAGGACACAGTTGTGCAGTTCTGGTTTGGAACACAGTTTAAGGTTTGTACAATATTATGTACAGTTCCTGCACAAGGTCATTGTTGTACAGTTCTTGTTTGGAAATCAGTTTACACTTTTTACAATAAGATATGCAATTCCTAGACAAAATCACTGTTGTACAGTTTGGAATACAGGAATCTTTTGTACAGTTTATTAGTATAGTCAAGTGTCATAATTTCAAATTCAGTTAAATGTTGGTTTCATTGATTTAGGATGTTCATCATGTTTTGTTGACTGTAACCAAAATTATTTGGCAATATGCCTTCTCCTGGAAATACTTCTGTGCAGTAAAATCATAAGAATTCTGTTTCAATGCTGTGTAAAATATTCACCCTCTGACTATAAGTAAGGAGTAGTGTGCTGTCCTCCATGGGTTTATTTCAGAAAAATAGTATTTACTATAAAGCACTGCTGAATGATGACTCCATTTTCACCTATCTTCCCTGTTTAGTTCTAGTGTTAAATGGTATCAACACCTACTTGACAACACCATTTAGACAGATTCTTATGATTTATATCATCAATAGATATAACTAAATTTTTGTAGGAGTTCTCAAAGAGAGTGCAGAAAAAACAATTCCAAAATTTTGACGAGTACCAATGCTAAACAATATAGTGGGACATCAAAAATTTTAGGGAGTCCCACAGGAAAAGGCTGTTGTCAGTGAGCTTGCTTTTTGCTGAATTTTTGTTAATTCATTTTAAAAGAACAGCTCAAACAATCCTTCAAAAATACTTTCATAGAACAGATTGAAATAGCATTGAACAATATGTAGATAGATCTAACCGTGAAAAAATTTTTTTGATTATCCAGTTGTATTCAGTCATTGTAGCTAATATTAACAGTGTTTCTTTTAGTAGTTAGCTGACTTAAACAGAAGTCACTTTAAGCATTATTATTCCTACCATCTGTAAGTACAGTCTTAAAGCTCATTGGTTTTATAGTTTGTATCAAATGTGAACTAATATGATAAATTATTGAAGATATTGAGAATTAGTCATAAATCCAATGTTATTTTCAGGCGATGTATCTGCCATGGGTTCTGCTGGCTTTCAACATGATCTTGGGACAAGGGTATGCATACATAGCTTGAAGAATGACTACTGTGATGTATTTAAATGATGTTTGAAGAGTGAATATCTAGTCAACTAGATGAGTTAGCAGTGTTGGCACAGGTTACCATTGTCATAGCAACATGGTCTGAACTTATTAATGCAGTTATCTGTATGTCTGTTAGACTTGGTGAAAGTATGAAATATTTGTATCAGAATATGGTCCTGATTGTTCACAAAGAAAAATCAGATATTAAAAGTTAAAAATCACATTGAATATCAGTTTGTGGACAGATTTGAAATAACATGAATGTAATAACTGTGGATCTTTTTCTGATTTTTTTTCACCTGCAGAGGAATTTCAGAGCTTCTCGGAATCCTTGTTGGACACCTGTATTTCTTTTTGATGTTTAAATATCCCCAGGATTTTGGTGGAGTGCGTTTTCTCACTGTACCAAACATATTGTAAGTATAAATAAAAGCTTTTGTACAAAATGTTACTGTTTATAAAAAATCATCAACTAATTTGCATGGGAGTAGAGCATTTACATTTTACAGGTGTTGTCTAGTTCATGTTACAGATCTGATCTCCTTAAATTCAAACTAGTTTAGTAATAAAAAAAACCCAGAAAACAAATGATCAACTATTTCCTAGTGAGTAGAGCATTTGGCAACGACCCTCAATATGGAATCCTACAATTTGGAAAAGACAATCAAGAAATGAATAGATCAGATTTGAGAGTAGAATGTGAGGATGGTGAACATCTGATATCATAGAGCAGAATCAGACAATTAATGATATTAAAGGTTGATATTGAAATAGCTGCATGTGCATCAGTTAAAATAGGAAAATGACCAGTTAATTGCTGTTTTGTTTTTGAGATTTGTAGGTTAAATTTTCTGAAATAGGATGGATGTAAGCACTCTCTCATTAATGATTAGAATTGGCATCAATCAGTTTTAGTCTGTAACATTCCAGTAAATCAGTTCATTGTTTTTCAAAGTATCAGATCTAGTTTATATATATTTCCTTCCGTTAAGTTAAATGTCCATTTCGTCTGCAGGTTTAAGTATTTCCCTAACAGACGCGGCGGTGTGTCAGGTTTTGGGATGGCACCATCTAGTCGGCGACAACAGCGAGACGATGGGAACGAGAATCATAATTGGGGACATGGCAATCACATGAACTAACCTTCCAAGTTACAATATACAAAGCTGGTTCATTTACATAGTCATATTTATAAAAAAAAGAGTTTGATATTTGTCAACTTTTTGAAATTCCCAGAGAACTTCACTGATACTTTGCTATGGAAAACTGAAATTATTATATTTCAGCAAAGCCAGGAATGTTGGTGTAACTTAGGCCATATAGTGAGGCACAACTTCAAATCTCTGTGGGTATTGGACAAGCTTATAACATATGCAATATCTCAAAAAGACTGACCTATACATACATTTAATATGCATGTGTTAAAGTTTGACTTTTTGACGTTTCCATCAGTCACCTGATAGGTGTGACCATTTATGGTCGTTGTTGGTTTTAAAACCAACATGATGATGATAGATATGCTTGTTGGAATAATTTAGTGTTGTTTTTTTTTTTTTTATGTCATAGGATATTTTTTCTCATGGGTCTATTTTTTTAAAGAATATAGATTCTTTGAAAGATTTTCTTATTTCTGTGAAATATTATTGGAGTTTATGTGATCTCTGAAAACTGTTCAATTTAGCCTTGTGTACTATCTTACGTGTTGATAAAATACTTAATTACATGGAAAATAGAAGCTTTACTAAGATTTGCTAATTTTATTACAGAAGGCAGGTTGTATGTCAAGATCATACAATTTAAAACGAATTCCAGATGAATTCCAAATGGTGGATTTATTTTGACAAATTCTACAAAGCATGCAGACATCTAGACACACTTTCTTCTATTCTTCCATATCAGTTAGTAAGAGATATGTAAATCACTGACGTGCTGTTTCTACTGCCATTCATTATCTGCAGAACTGACTATATGTATTGTTGCTGTCAACATGTCCATAATATAAAATCCATTAGTCATATTCAAGTCCTCTTTCGTTTTCATCCTGTTACCTGTTAAGGAGACAAAGTAATGCATCATATTAATCATTCCGAATAATGTATTCATTAACAATAGTTTAAAATTTTAAAATTCCAAAACTGATTGAAAATAATACATTACAACTTCTATTTTTCATGAGCTATATCGGTCTTAAGAATTCCTTTTATATAAATATTTATCATATTGGATGTGAATACCATGTTTGACCTAATAAATAGACTGTACACTGACGAAAAACAAAGGTCTGTACTTAAAACTATCACAAAGATCAAATTTACTTTTGTTTGTGGAGACCTAAAAATCTAGGGAGAAAATTGGATTTTTATAGCAACTCAATTATAGCTGAGTTTCAGCCATATTTCCTTGCGGGTCAGAAAACTGGTTTATTGGGTTGAAGCACAAGTATTGTTTCTCTCAGAAAAGAAGAGAGACTATACTTAAAGGGGCAGGTGTGTTTATTAGGTCAATTATGATATAATTAGAAAATGTTTTATTGAAGCCATTAAACATATTTCCAATTGCTTGATGCTTTCTTTCATTCTTCTCAATGCTAAGATTCTTCTGGTGATCATTAGAGGCCAGCAGAAGGATACCAGGTATGCTGTGTTATGGGTTTCTTAATAAGAGACCTACTTAAAGACACTTAGTTAACATTACAATGGAGGAGCCTTAGTTTAATGAATAACAGTCTCATTTACTCAACCAAATATAGTAATTAAGAGGATCTAGAAAGGAGAGGTCCTGAGTCACAAGATTATATAATCTGCTGAACTTGTCCTATTTGCACAGTCTTCTGCTTTCAGCACCACACACTTTGATGGACAAGATATGTCCTTTGTTAGGGCTGGAGGAAACATTATCTGATGTTTTTTAACACATCAAAGTCTTACTTACGCATAATGAAATTGGAAACAACAGCCCGAATGTATTATCAATATATACACGAAAGAAGAATGGTTAGTCAAGGGGGACAAGCACAATTTTGTGTAAAGTTGGTTTCTCTTCTCCAAGGATTCCTCACTTCAAATTTGGTTGAATTCACATTATTCTTACAGAAGAGGGAGTAATTTTTATACGCCGCCGGAGGCGGTCGTATATTGGCGTCATCTTCTCCGCCCGTCCGTACGTCCATTTCTTGTGAACGCAACTCCCCCTTAACTAATCATCAGATTTTCATGAAACTTACTCAATATCGCTACTACAATGAGTAGATGTGCATGAAGGGGCGATTTTACGGTTCATTGATTTTTGTAACATTTTACGATATATTTTGTGGCGGCGTATATTGTGTCCGTGGCACTCTTGTTTATATATGTATCTCGTACTGAGCCCGATCATTTATACAGAACTGGTTCCTCTTCGCCTATGATACTTCGGACCAAATTTGGTTATAACATTTGCACCATAACCATAACAGAAGAAAAAAAATTATCAATGAATTTCTAAACTGTATGGGTCCCTGCCCCTCTGTCCCCGTGGGAGTGAGGCATACCGGTGCCGTTTATACAAAATTGAGAACCTTTCACCCAAGGATGTTTTAGACCAAATATGGACAAAAATCCATTCAATCTTACAGAAGAATGATAAATTTCCCCTTTTGGATCCTGTCCTCTATGTCATACAGGCTGATGCGCATTTACCTATATATAATCCACTGTAAACTCACAGGTCCTTTGGCCCAGTTGTGCTTAATTTTTTTGTAGATGTAACCCATAAAAGTTCAATGTAATTTCAGTTTTACCGTGTGCCTTTCAATTTTATATATCTTCAACTACATAAGATTTACCAAATTGTATGTACTTCGATATTTCAACAAAGGGACCGTTATACTATACACAGGAACAAGAAAAACTGCAACAAGGGCTACCTTTTTGTGTCAGATCCAGTGTGGGCTGACTTCAATATCACGCAATCGAACTTTGACTATCGGATGCAATATGATATTAAATCTGTTACCATTGATATATATTATACGCCCTGGCTAGGCCTACACAATTGTAATCTTATTGGGTGTTCATAAATTTTACCTTTTCACGCCGAAAATACATGTCCACCGGAATCTAATTATACAGTTTGCTTTCTTTAACTCTTTGACTTTAATTGGACATTTCTGCCACATTTAGGAAAAAAATGGCGAGTTGAGATTGAAATTTTTAGGAGTTGATAGCAAAGCCCTCAGAAAAGGACCTGAATTATGTGCTTTGGCCATTGTAAGCCGATGTAGTATTTCGTACATAAACATTCAGTTATCGGCCGTGGGCCCGAAAGAGATATACATTTCCCGGTCTTTCTGTACTAATCAGCAGTATAAGGAGACTGAATAAGTCAATTATTGGGGTAGTCCGAATCATTCTGATACTCTATAGATTTTCTTATATATCGATCTGGAGTCAAATGCAAACTGACGTAGAAAAGTTGATAGAACGTCAGAATAATTTGGACTATTACTGCGCTTACACCCTTGCCAACAAATACTCATACAATTAACATACAGACAAGCATGTAAAGCATCTTAATCTGACCTTGCCACATATATTTACCAGATTAACTTCCTTGAGGAGTTAAGATCCAAAGACGCATTTTAGAATGAGTATTTTGCAAAATGTTTATTTGCAATTCAGGTCTTCATGTCAAAACGTGAGAAACTGACGGGTTCAACATACCTTTTGCGCCTCAAATGCACACGTGTTGCATCATCACAGGTTAAAACTTTTTTTTTTCAACGCTTTAAGTACAGATTTATCGAGTTCCAAATTACATTTTTATTTCTATTTTTCTTTAACTATATTTTTTTCATTTAGTCATGTGATTTATGTTATTTTATCGTGTTTAACTATCACGTTTCTATTTAACACGCCTGGTTCTAATCGCTAAATTTTATGCCTTCCCGTTAGTTGAGGACTACGCCGTTTTTGACACGGAACGACTTTTTACTAAATGTCCATTAACATACAACAAACTAGATTCCTTCATTGCATGAACTTCCCTCCCTGATAAAGTTGATTAAATTAATGGAGAGAACTTTGAAGTCAACACACGTATAAATTGTAAAACAATACAATATTTCACACCCTTTGATTAGTGTTCTCTTGTGATTTGATATGTGAACATAAAAAAATCTATTTTATAAAAACTAATGCAATACATATACGTTCGAAATAAACTCTAAACATCACATACGAATCTTACTTTTTATAAGCCTTCATCTAATTAAAAAAAACAGAAACGCAGGTTATATTACTGAACCAAAATTAGGTAAATGATATAAAAGACCGTATAAAAATGCGATGTTTGTAGTTTTTCTCCGGGCTCTACCGCGTTCACCTTGGTTGTAATTAGAATCACTCGAGAGCTCGAGATCCGGCGTGCGTTTGAATAGGAAGAGGTAATTCGGTCAAGCGTCTGAGAAACGGTAGCTTTTGAAGCGTATTTGAAACGCATTGTATGCGCCATTTTTGGGAAATTTACATGGTATAACAATCCATGTAATCATGAATTTAGTAAGGTATGAATGCATTACATAGATATGCCAACATCAAATTCGTTCTTTGAACTTGATAATCAGAATTTTATTTTGTATATTATATAAGTCTTTATGTTGCAAACACGACTTTTGTTAGGCCGGTACACCGTTGTTTACATTTTGTATTGATACTCGGGGGAAAGCTTTAGTCCAAATTATATTTCTCTTCAACACTTCACTCTGCAAAATTATATCACAGATTTAGATATATCTAAGTAATGTTATTTTCTGATGTTGTCGAGATACTGTGCGAAGTTTCAGTTTGTAATTATCTCGTGTTTAGAGTAGGATGTAAATAATCGTATCCATATTCCTGGAAGGAACTGTCCCTTCCAACACCAGACTAAGACATTTCAATGCACATACGTGCGTCATGGTCATCTTGTGGCTTATTGTCAAATTATGGCATATACAGCCGACTCGCCTGACTGTCGAACGTTTGATGTTGCCTTGTGCGTGAAAAATTTATTAATGGCTGTCTGGTCATAAACTCATATTTCTCTGTTAGCTTCGATTAATTTATTTAGTAACTTGGCCATGGCTTTTTACGGGGCGATAACACCAAGCAAACAACAATCGAGAGTGTGTTTACATTAAATGTCGATTATTAGAGGATGCTGTAATTATTTTACTGTTGGCAAATGATGGTTTTGAATAACGAGTAGTTTAGTAAAACTGAATACTGGATAAAAAAATGAAATTGATTTGTGCAAAGATGTGATTAATAAGAACAGAATGTGTGCATTGTTTATTTCGGAATTGGTCCATTATAAATTTGTTGTAATACCTTTTCTTTTGTGTATTCAGATTTTTGATGAAACTCAGTCATGAAACAGTGACGATAGAGCTGAAAAATGGAACACAAGTCCACGGGACCATAACAGGCAAGTTCAATTGGAAGCTGTTGTAATAGATCTGGCCATTTCAGAGTTCGGTCAGAAAGGGTACAGATTAAGTTGGATTTCCGTCTGTCTGTGACCCTTCTTGGCAGAGAAATGCCTCTTTGAACTTAGAAAATTCTCTGGGAATATTGTTTTCCAGACTTTTTTGGTTTATCCTTTTAGTTATTGAAATGAAATTTGGTATATGGCTTCTTGTTGGAAGGGTACAGATTAGTTTTGATTTCCAGTTTGATTTCTGGGTGAGCGTGACACTTTATGCAGGCGACACATACAGTTCCAAGGAACTCTTGTATTATACATGTATTGCGTTTGTGTTCCAAATGTGAATAGCTCAGGAGAGTTGATAATTGATGATGAATATATTTAAAACTTCATATTGGTTGTTCCAGGAGTGGACATTAGTATGAACACACACTTGAAGGCTGTGAAAATGACACTCAAGAACAAAGACCCTGTACAAATAGACTCTCTCAGTATCCGTGGAAACAATGTGCGTTATTTCATCCTCCCTGACAGTCTTCCCTTGGATACACTTCTCATTGATGACACACCGAAGACCAAGGCAAAGAAGAGCAGGGATTCAGGTAAGTAATGATTAAACCTTAGAAAAAAAAAATCAGGAAACTAGTGGTCAATTAGTATACATGTGTTTTGCTAGATTTTAAGTAATTGATTATTTCTAATTCAAAAATATAGTAATGTCATTATTAGTAGTCATTAAAAGGTGTGGTTGTATTGAAAGGTTTGAAAAAGTACCAAGATTCAATTGTTGACATCAGTTTTAGAAGGGCCTTTTGTAAACTATTTATTTATGTTTACCATTGTCACTTTAACATCATAAGGCAACATAGAATTTGTGTAGCCTGTGAAAATATGTAAAGCAATTATCTTTTTAGTTCTTAATGGTAATTAGTTTGAATGTGCAATATTTCAATAGCCAACTGATTTCATGGAAATGTGAAAACTTGTTGAAAATGAATGGTGTAGACTGGGAAAAAAATAAGTGACTGATATACAGATAATGTCAATGTTTTGTTACAGGTGGTATGAGCCGAGGACGAGGTCGTGGACGTGGTGGTGGTCGCGGACGTGGCGGCGGTGGTCGTGGAGGCAGGGGGCGTGGCCGAAGATAGACAACGGAATTCCATCAGTGTTGTAACATGTTTTATACATGTTCTGTGGGGTGGATAGACAATTTGCAAGACTATATAAACCTCCACAGGGAAAAGTGACCAATTTGTAGAGGTGCAACTATGTTTCTAGAACAGCTCAGTTGTTGGTCTTCCTATCCCGGTTAGTTGCTGCACATATATACTGAATGTTGGAATAAAAATTGTGTAGCCTTTGCAAAATTACATGGTTATAATCATGTTTAATCTCTGGGGGAAGACTTACCTTCTTTGTATCTAAGATAAGTGTTGCACAGCAAATTGAGAACGGCACCAATCTGGACTATTTGTCAATTCAAACAGTTTTGGATTACCAATAGAAGTGGTTTCATAAACTGTCTGGAAGAGGAAAGATACATGCCATCTGCAAAAGCTGATCGAAACTCATTCAAAGGAATAAGGAGGGCTTTGTGCACATTTGGTGTGTAGTCTATCTTGGGGAAAGACTTAAGAAGTCTTCAATTGTACAGACTGTACAATGGAATCACTTTAACGAGATATACTACATCTATCATGTCTTCACAATTCTCATTATAATGTCATTGTTTCATGATAATAAATCATACTAATTTCAAGTTCATTTTGTTTGATGTTATTTGTCAATGCCATAATTGGTCTAGCTGTTTCTTTGTGCTATCATAATAGAATTTATCAACTCTGAACATTTAAATATCTTAAGACCTGAGCTGCTGACATTTACAAAGCTGTTAATCATGTGTCTTTAAGTAAGATGGCTATTTGAAGGGCAACATTAACGCTAATCCAGTGTAGTCAGGTTTGGTGACACTCGGAATGTGATCTTTTGTAGACATTGTTGTAATGGCTGAAATTTGAATTGAAATTTCTAAGTTTAACACTTTTTTTGCTTGCCTGGTCCAAACGGCAATGTAGCTCAAATAATTCTGATTAATTGAATGGTGTAGAATCGTATTTGACTGGTAGATTCCAAGATAAATGACCTTGCCGCGTAGTCGAGCATCATGGGGTCAAATCTGATGAAGACCACCATCTCGGAAAGAAAAAAATCAAACTACTGAAGTTGCATTGGTGCCATATTGAACTGATAATTGGTGGTAAAGTGCAGGAAAGGAAGTAGACAAAAGAAAAGACAAAAAAAAAAAAAATCATGTGTCGTCATGGTTTTCTTGACACCTATTTCGCAAGTTAAACAAGTGGGGCACAGCTCAAAGGTGCCCGAGATGGTCCTGACCAATTGTTGTTTTTCCAGATTGGTCTGGAATCTTATGTGGCCTTCCTCCCCGCCATCTTGTAAAGTATTTTTATGGGACTATTCAAAGCTGAAACGAAGAATATTGTTGTTCTGCTTAACTAAGGTAACAAGGCTTTCCTGTGCTGTACTGGTTGTCTTTTGCTAAGAAATTTACTGCAATTGCTCTGGATAATTCCAGTTGACACAAATTTGTTGGAAATTAATTCTTGTTACTAATATAACTAAAGCATCATTGGATCAAAATCGTTTGGTTGTTATTGTTTGAAAATGACCCTAATAAAGGCCAAGGATGTATAAAGCAAACTTTAAACTAAGAAATTTAAAAAGTTGATCAGTCGTGCCATATGCCTGACTTTTCATATCTATTGAACTATTAGAATCGTGAAGAAACGGTTGACATACTTTCACATGAATTTCTCTTTTTATAATGGATACAATCAATCGACAATGATTGCTGAAGGTAGAGAGTGATACTCAAGTCCTTCGTGATACAATATTTACATAAGAAATGGTTCTGTATGATGAATTCATAAGTGGTATTAGCAGAAAAGTTATCACAAAACTGATGACACATTATAAAGCCACTCTGCAGATTACTTGAAAATAGCTCATTTTATTAACACTTCTCATTCAAAACATATGTTGCCTTCTTGGAACAATACAGTTCTAATTTCCAGTATATTTATACACAAACAAAAATTCTATGAAGCAGTATTTAAATCTATTATGTGTTTGCTAAATAACATTTCTTGAATCGTGAAGATATTTTCAAATTTACCACAATAACATAAAAAATCGAAAGATTATAATTTGGTACATATTGGTTTCTATAAAAGTACATACACTAATTTGATTATACTTTAATAGCAAAACATAAATATTTCTCTTTGCATTCTGTTTTGTGAAATTTAAATGAAAGTATGTTCTAAAACAAGCAACGCTACACACATTTTGTTGTTACTGGTGCAATAAATAATGAATCTTAACTTTTGTATCCAAATATTACCAGGTGGAAAAATGTTGGATGTTTATTGGGTTATATTTTGAAAATCAATGACTTGCATAGAGAGCGAGAATTCTTTGATCTAGCTCTTGATAACAATCTTAAAAAAATTTGTTTTATGCAACACTAGTATGAAAGTACATGTATAAAAACATTGAATCACTGAGGAATAATCTCTGATATGTGTTGTACACATAAATATGTAAGCATTTTCAAAACTGATCACTACAGATGATTGTCCTGAATTTGATAAATCTTTAAGGTGGAATACGAAATCTATAGATATGATCTAGATATTTAGTGAACATCAGCACTAGATGTTTATATCAATTCAGTCCTAGACTAGAGGTCATGTTATGGCATTTATAGTCTAAATGAATGTAACAGATTAGCAGGCAAACATCATACTAAGATAAGTGATTTATTAATATTGCAACTCGTCAGTTGGCATACCCATTTTGACATTGAACCTTCGCCATATCTATGCCCACAATAATGACGTCGCATTTAAAGTCTCCACCATCACAGATATATCTGCGTACTTTATGTAGTGGCATTCCCATGCAAATGTAAATAAAATACATCCTTCGTCTGTCAAAGCAAAATAAAAAACTTAATGGGGATATTACAGACAACATCAGGAACATCACATTAACTAGTAAACTACAACACCATACTCCACCTTATAAGCATACCTGCCCCTATAAGCACACCCTACATTTTTTCCAGGAAAAGGGGATGAGTGTGTTTATTAAAACCTGTCTAAAGCTTCTTTCCTTACTGATCTACCAATACAATCATCAGTCTTTTAATCAAACATAAAGGTATTCAAATGAAATAAAAAAATGTTGGAAATTTCCCCCTGTATATGGTTGTATTTAGAGCACCCCTTTCATGTTTTTGTAAGTGTACTGTGACCTTATTTGGGTGAATACGGTAACAGAATAACAGATTTATAAGAAAACTACTTTAGAATAAACCTGATCACAAAACAAGCCATTATGCTATTTTTGGTTTTGAAAATTTCGTGAAATGGATCAGAAATGTATTGCAGTGGATACTGGTATGTTTTGAATTAAACCCTAGATTTCCTTTAAAAAAAAAAAAAAATTATCCAGCTACTTGCTATCTTATGTTCCACAAGATTTGCTTCAAATAAAATTTCTCTGAAAAAAAAATTGCAAACAAACACGTTTTACAATAGTGTCAGATTTCTCATGACAACCTGATGGCAAACTTCCAAGATTACTTCAATATGACATCGGTGGGGACGTTACAATATACATTACAATATACATAATATTCACCATCAGCTGTAAAGCAGGCACAAGTTAATGAACCTAGGTATGTAAATTTATGTTGGCAATTTATGCCAAAGCTGTCAAAAACAACCCATGTCAGTTCAAATACAAACAGCGTTATAACAATTCATACATGTAGTAAATAAAAACATGAAGTTTGATTGGATAATAACACAGTCAATACTGTTTTCTCTCTATATGTAATAAAATACTCAGCGTCACAAACTTCTAAGCATAATCGTAAGTATAAGACTAAAGTATGGCAAGAAAACAAGCTTTTAGAGGCATCTTGGTACCCACCATTGTTTGCAATTAATTCATTCTGTTCTCCTCTTGACCTTTTTTTCCCCTAAACATATGGATCTCAAATCCAAGATGGACATCTTGAAGGCTATTTTGTTTTACTGATCAGTCCAAAAATCATAAGGCGACAACTACAGAGTAACTATAACGTATATATTTGAGAAAAACTTGTCTAGTATTTCTGAAGGAATATTGAAAATAAACTTTCATTGTGAAAATTTCAGATGGCCACCTAACGGCATTTTGTTTTTCTGATCCATCCGGTCCTCTAGATATACTCACTAGAATTGAAAATCAAGACAGGACAGATTCTTCTATATCAATTACTTACTTTAACCTTTTCTTACCACAAAACCTACAGGGGCAGCTTTCAATCAAGCTGTATAATAGTTGTGATGATTTCAATATCAGTGCTGTGAATTTAAAGCATCCCTGACCTATGGTGATTTTGTATTTAAGGGCTTCTTCCGAATATCCGATTTCTCGTCATGCAAGAAGTCGCGTAACAAGGATTTGAAAGATGCAGGTTGATGAAGATTATGGGGAAATTTTGTGTCATTATGATTTTATTGGGAAATATTCTATTTCCTTTGGAATTTGCAGCTGGACGTGTTTGATGCTCATTAGTATCCTTGGTGGTTCTCTTGTTGTTTATCATGTTCTCATTTAGGAACTATCTAATTTGAATTGACAAAGATTTACATGGTGGATGTTGTCAAAAAAGGAAGATGCTTACCCACCCTCAACATCTGTTCTTATTTTCCTATTTTTCCAGGAGTCTCTGTGTGTAAATCTTTCTCTTGTTCATATTTTGCCCTAGTTTCCACCTTATATTCATAGTCAAATCCAAGATGGTTGCCTAGCCACCATTTTGTTTTTCTGATCAGTCCAAAAAATTTGAGAGTGACCCATTAAATACTTCTTCAGAAATAGTGATAACAAACTATGTCAAAATCCAATATGGACACCTGTCGACCATCTTGTTTTTCTGACCAGTTTAAAATTACAAATGAAATGAGAATGATTCATTCAGTGCTCCTCCAGAAATACCAATAACAAGAATTCTTTATTACCAGCTCGATGAATGAAAGGCAATTTGAATAACCCATCCTCTGAAGATGGTGTGTTGATAATGTAAAGCATACTGATGTGACATGCTAGCAGCCAACATAAAGCTAAAAATGTTCATATTCAAATTAATGAATTGAAACAATTAAAAAAAAATCCGGTTTCAACTGAATAAAAACAGTAAGTATGAGACAAAAAACGCATGCAACAGAACCATAACTGCTAATAAGTGAACGTTTGATCTAAATATAATTTGGCGGACACAAATTATGATCTTGAGAATAAGAGATTCAAACATGGTTAAGAGAATAAGAGGCAAGATATTATCTGGGAAATAAGAATTCAGGAGAGTAAGATTCAGACATATTCCTGTAATGTGAAAAGTAATAGATTAAAAAATAGTTGGGAGATTCAGATATAATCAGGGATATATGAGATTCAAGCATAATTTGAGAACTTGAGATTCAATCATGATCAAGGAGAATTAGAAATTTACACAGGCAGGAAATATGATAATCAAACATTGTCACCTCTTAATACGAGATCCTTCAGAGTGAATTGATATTTTCATAAACTGTTTCTGCAATGTCAGTTTTTGAAAGACTAGTTATACAAATATACAGCTGAGATGACGCACCAACAGAGACAATGCTGCCTCGAGACATTGATAATACCGGGAATATAATGTAGATACCAATCATATTGGTAGTCAGATGCTGATCATCACCGGATACTCATGAAAACTGACCATTTTACAACTTTAACTTAAACAGACCATCACAGATTGAACAAGGTTTCGTACAAAAATGTTATTGCTTGGCACCAAACAGATTGGCTTGTACAAGCTTTCGGCCCTGCAGTCGTGGAGACACGGATGCTTGATACATTTTTCTGTATTTACTGATGTGTGGTCCCCACTCCAATGTTGGCTGTGTTAATTTCCATATACGCTGAAAGATAAATCAAAAGAAAATGGTGAGTTCTGCTTCAAAAACATCATAGGTAATAGACTTATTATATTCAAATCCTGTTCAATTTTTTCCTTTAAGAACACACATTTATGTTGTTGTCAGTACTGCACAACGCTGAAATAAGCATACAAAGCCTAATGAATGATTTTCAGATTTTCAGTATTTTGGTGATGTAGCTGGTGTAATGATATACAAAGTACTTACTGTGTATCACAACTACTTGCACACATTCCCACTATTCTGAGAAAATCTATTGTGTGACATATCGCTGTACATCTAATAAATATTTTTATGATGAAACAGTAAACAGTGTACTTTAGCATGTTTATAAACTAAATTTTACTGTCAGTTGCCCGTAACAACTGGAAATTCCACATGTGGGTGTATAAGGTTTTTTTTTCTTTTAAGAAATCAGATCTAAAAGATCAAAAGGTAAAATATATGGACTGGTTTTTAGAAGTTTTACATTCATAAGTATGTAACATACACTTGATTCCATAACCTACACCATAAAACTTATTGCTAACCCTATGTATGTTGCACAACAATGAGGGAAAAATAAAGGAAAAATCTAATTGATCTATTAATGAATTTTGGCCAATTAAATGTTCAAAATTTGTCAGAAATACGACACTATGAAACTTTTTTCCACATTTGAACTCCATAACACCTAAAATCACTGTATTAGAATGAATAGGAATACCATACAGATATTTGCATACTAAACTCATTATTATATATCTAAGTAATGAAATAAAACCAACCTAACTACCACTCATAATATTGTGATAAACTTAACCCAGACTCAAGTATAACTCTATAAATACACAATGATCACATATACACAAATTACATTGTAAACAAAATAGAAGGATACGCTGTGCTTAATCAATAATTGCAAAATTTTTTTTTATGAAATCCATTTCATATTGAAAAGAAAGAAACATAGTAAAAGACTATACATTGCTTTGTTGGGTATAACTGATCAAAGGGGTCAAAACTCTTACTAAGACGTATGGAAACAAAATTCCTGGTCTTTTATGCACAAGTTGAATGTGACCAGCAAATGTATGTTATAGTTTTGTTCAAAGGGTCAGTTCATAAGGGACTGTGCAGACAATATGTGTTAATTGACAGATTGATATCAAATTTCTATTAAAGATACTTACATTTACAATTGGCCCTTTAGCTTGTGCGATTTGTAATACCATGAAGACAGGAACTGGAATTATGGGTATTACAGAGAGCAAAAGGCCAAACGCACGTGCCATAGCTGGATAAGTATAGCCTTCATAGGTAGGGGGCTGGTAGTTCATCATTGTCGCTGTGAAGGCGATCTGGAAAAAATAATAACCTTATGATTCATGACTAACATTTAATTTGTATGGTGTAAATGTTTTTAAGCACTGGGGTTAACATGGGAAACAACAGTAACAGAAAGTATAAATCCTTCAAAAATGCTAGAGGTTTACAAAGCAAGATACTTTTGACAGGTGCCTTAATGGAGTCAGCATAACAATGAAACAACAACAGATAAATCTGCCATGTTATAGGAGTAAGAATAGTGATGAGTAACTGTTGAATACTGCATTCTGTACTCTGAATACCTTCAGGTCTCCATGTTTGTAAGTCATGGTTACTTAAAGGTTTGGATTGATAGCAAAACATAAAATCTTTCAAGTTTTTAATTGATTGCTGCAAATAAGAGTACCCACCAGCATAATCAGGGGTGTGATGACACACCAGCACAATCGGATGATAATAGGAACTGGTCTTCCCATCATTAGTTCTACATCTCTACTGAAACGGTCTGCTCCTACAATAATACACAATCACAGTTATATCTTATAAACTTTGAATCTTCAGTCATGTTGCATAAGGGAGATAACTCATCTCAAACTACACACATCAAAATGGACAAAACCATTGGTTTTTCCAAACAAACATGACAATGATAACTAAAAATATCATTACTTTGGTCAGAATGTCACAGAAATGAACACATCAAAATAGTTCTTATATTCCCAGAAATCTTTATCATACAGAAATGCTATGCTACTTTATAGACAGATTGATTAAAGGTACGAGCTAGTCATCAGTACATTACCATAGAGCCATCCCACAATGATGCACTCAAGGAAACATGTAAGCAGTACACACAGTGAAGCAGCGTACCAGTCAACTAGCTGGAAGATGTACATTCCACCCTGCATGTTGAAAAAAAAACACTGTTTCTACATACATAACATTCAAGCAAGGAAAACAACATACACAGACAGCATTTGAAACAATACCTAAAATTTACAGAATGTTTTAAAGACAATTTTTTGAGATGACAGTGACCACATAATGACACCAAAGGGGGTCTACATATGGAAGTTAAATATCTCAATCCAGTGCTTTTCAAGAGATAATGATAACAAATTTTTGATGTTCAAAATCCAAGATGGCCGTCTGTCAGCAATTTTACCCCCCAAATCAAAATTAAACAGGCAAAGCAAGGGACAAAGAGGAGCCCACATGAAATTTGAGAAAGATCCATCTAGTATCTTTCAAGAAATAGAGATATCTAGCATTTTTTTTGGACAGATCATGGGCAACAGATATAGGGTGATTTGAACAGCCCACCACCATCAATAGCCCAATATTTGATGATAGTAGGCAAAACAATTTGTAGGTAATATCTGCTTGTTTTGAACTAGGTTTTTAAGCATATATAGAGATATACAGGTTAATATCATGCTCTATTTCAAAGATCAATCACCTGTTTTAAATCAAACAACGGTGATGTAAGTAAAAATCGTGTAGACTTACATTAGTGGTAAATGGTAAGCCTAGTATAAACAGCAGCAGGGACAGCGCTGCTGTCAGTAAGACCTTTCGCTTGCCCAGCAGACGAGGAAAAGCATCTACCAATCCACTAGACACCGTCTCAAATGTCCCAAACTGTTAACAGAAGCAGCTTTTATCAATGCTATATTCCTAGAAATCTCAAATCACTGCATTTCTTTTATAGTAAGATATTTCATGCTGTTTATCTTAATGAATTATAGTTTTAACAATGATCTGTGGATTTTAACATTTGTATATTGTATGTTGTAATTTCTATTATAACAAATTATCAGGTATGTAACCTGTTCTTTCATTTTCTCTCCATTAGTGAATGACTTTTATATCATATAATATAATTCATGTGATTCAAAATTCTAGATTCTAATTCCTATTTATCATATACATAAAAAAAAGAACAGCTATTTTTTTGTAATTGCAATTTTAATCACTTAATTAGCGTTTGAGATATATAAGTAAATGAATGTGTAATATAGCTATAATGTTGTAAATAATCATTTCTCATTCTTATTGATACAAAATTTTAACACAATCCACAAAACACATGTTTGCTATTGATTATCTAGCTAATATGGTGAAGACAGCTACCAGTACATTATTAAAATTGACTGTCCTGTATGGACATCAAAATTAAGTTTTGTCACAAATGATGCTGTACTTTTAATATTTTCCCTACCAAACTTTTCTAAATATGATTTAGAAATTCATTTAAAACGGAATTTGAAGTTTTCTTGTTTTGTTAGTATACCTGACTGTCAATCCCCAGAGCTAACAACATGACAAAGAAGAGGACGGCCCAGAGTTGTGGGAGTGGTAACTTGGTGATAGCCTCGGGGTAGGCTACCAACGCCAGACCAGGTCCTACAACAAACAAATGAGTACTGCAAGCAATCCACTGTCAATCATTCACAGCCTATTTTAGGTATCACTCTAAAAATTTCTACCAGGTATGTCTGTAAATGGAAGGAGGTGGTAGGGTTGGGGACTTAATAAAAACAAGGCCATAACTATGCATTTAGTGGGGCATGTAAGCAAATTCCAGTAGTGAACATTACATCATCCTATGAAATAACTTACAAGATAACACAGAGTGTGACAATATTCCCAGTGTCCATTGTTTCAAAGACACACAATCATATATATATTTCAGACACTGAAACACAATTAACAAAGGAAATTTTTTTACTTTACCCCGTCAGGGCCTCAAACTAATAATCACCTAGCAAAGAAATTCCAGACTGCTTAACACCACCACAACATCCCCATGTATAAATATTTATGTATACTGGCCTGGAAAATCTGAACTTCCTGGTATTGCCTATCTGTTTCCATGATAACAGAAAAAGTATTTATATGGTAAACTTCCTGCTAGTAAAAGGCTACTTAATAAATGAACAAAGTTACAAGTAATTATCTTTAACAGTTTCAGAGCACTGGTCCGAGATAATAGACCTGGTATGATAGATAAGCCAAACAAAGTGAACAAGGGGTGTAACAACATACATGTAAGTGTAAAGTTGTTCAAGATAATATCCTAGAGGAAGTGAAAATCAGAGAAATCGTTTATCACGAGAATGATATGGACAAAAACATGGGGAGATAATGTAAATATAGAAATTTATTTTTCAACAACTCTTGACTAGAACTGGGAAACATACAAGGGGAGATAATACCACATCATCTTATACCTTACAAGACTAACATGACATCAGTCTTACATAGAAATTCTTATTACATTTGTCTATTGTATACAAGTATATAGAAGCTAGTTTCCATGTAAATCGAAAATTCCACCACTTTCCAACATACATTTGTTGAAGACTTAAATGATTGTAATTTCTTACAGATTTACACAAAGACAGGTCATAAGACATTTTAAAAACCCCTGAAAATATTTCTAGTAGAATGAATCAGTATAAGAGTATTTAATATATGTGTCATTTTGACTTGGTAAATGAGAGAAATATGTCAATATTTTCTTATTTGGTTAGAGATGACACCTAGAAATATTTATCCAATAATAAACCCAGTTAGCCAATACATTACATCTAACTCAAAGTCAGAGAGTGAACTTTATATTTTATAACACACCAACAATACAGCATTTGCTGGTAATACTATTGCACTACAATGAATAGACACGGGTTTGATGCTACATATCCATGTTATTGTGAAAGTGAATTCAAACATACCTGAGGTAGCAACTTCATTGATGGGTAGTTTAGACTCGTACGCCATGTACCCTAGCACTGAGAAAATCACAAACCCTCCGTAGAAGCTGGTAAGAGCATCAGCCATACTGCCAATAATGGCATCCCTGTAATAGAGAATTATCAAATTTTCTTGTAGAATTGATGTTCTCCATATTTCTATTTTTTCAAATTAAAAATATGTATAAATCCTTTGATGTTCAATATTACGTCCAAAATGTCTGTCTCCAACTATAATTCTATATAACCAACCAACACGATATTTTAACAAAGATCATTCTCAAATATTGTAGCAAACTTATGTAATCAAGTGTTCTTTTGTATTGCAACGAATATACCAAAGTCATATTTTCTGCTCTTTAGTGGTATGGAGTGGTAGTGGAGGAACCTACAAACCACCCAACTAGAACATACGGCATTGACTCTATTACCTGTACTCAAAGTCATATTTTTATACAAAAACTTTTTAGATGAATTCCATAAACATAAACAACAATGTTCAAGCTGGTCATTCAATATATAATTTGTCTTTATACTTTACATGTTGACAGAATCACTTTTAATTGAAACACTCAGACTAGGCTGATACAGTTTAGCACTTGCAGATGACATTTACTGAACAAGTTAAAGAATTTCTCTTAAATCTAAAATTGCAATATTTTTACTCCAGGTCTCTTAATTAGGTCACAATCCATGTGTAAATGTTATTTCATGATTGAAACAACGAGAACACACAGCCAATCACAACTTACAATACTTTTTTAATTCTAAATAAACATGTTCATTATTAATTTATTACACAGGTACTTGAGGTGCTTTATGACAATATATAACAGGGTTATTACCTAATAGGTGTTATGAAGATGTAACAGTGTTATTATTTAATGGGTGTTATGACAATATATACATGAATGTAACAGGGTTATTATTTAATGGGTGTTATAACAATAAACAGTGTTGCTATGTGATAAATGGCTTTACCTGAGACAATTATTTGTAAACTTGTTATAACTAGACATGGTTATAAGTCCTCCCCAAGCTGGTCCTAGAGAATAGAACACTTGTATCCCTGCCTCCAACCATACCTGTATAACAGAAATAACTGTTAAGCTGAGTTATCATTCTTAACTTCATCTAAAACAACAATAATCTTGCCAGCTGTATCGCTGCTTCAGTTCCATGAAATTTTGACGAAAAAGTTTTTAAAATAGTTTTATATAAAAAATCATCAAAAATTAATGAAAATCCTGTTCAGCGATCAGTCCAGATGAAGCTTACCTGGAAATCAAGAAGTCTTTTAAAGTCTGGAGTGAGGTAGAAAAGAATACCATCAACTGCTCCAGGTAACAGAAGGCCACGGATCAGAAATATCGTCAACAATACATAGGGGACAAGGGCGGTAACATAAACAACCTAGAAAAACAAACAATTAGTCTACATAACATTTAAACCAGACTGGTTAGCTTACATACAAGGATCCCACAAGTCTCATTATCCCCATTTTGATTCCTGAAGTCTGATAACACAAAATAATATACACAATTCAGATTCATGAATCACTTTGTCAAAGGCTACAAGTACAAAGTAACCTACAGGTACATTTATCTACTTTCAGTTTGAAATTCCATTATTGTTAGTAACACAAAATGAATTTCATTTAATTTTTTTTATCAAATTCATTTTAACATTTGAAGTCATTAGATATTTTATCTAAACATAATATTACAATAAAACAATGGTTAGTGTCAATTTAACCATTATTATAGGACTATGTCAATATGACCTTGTCTTGGGTAAATAAATACACGTATCCACCTCTGCCAAAGTAGATAATGCTAAAATGATCTTCATTTGCATACAAATACAGTTAGAATCATTGTATTGTGATGTTTCGGTATAGCAGATACCTTGCCCACAGATTTAACACCCTTCATCAGACAGAGGAAGACAAGGACCCAGGCCGCAGCTAGAGCTAACACTAGATGCCATCGTATTCCGCCGAGATCACCAAAGCCAGATGAAATCTGTAGGACATTCAATCTGTAAATAAACACAGGAAAATGCAGCTTCTTACTCTAAAACTTGAAACTACTTCATGTTTCCTATGTAAATTATTGGAGCAGATAATTATACATGTATTTTATTACATATGCCTGCCATTGCACTGGACAATTACATAGAGGAAAACGACAGGCCATCTTCGTTGTTTTCTCAAAGAAGTCAGTGTTTAAATATTCAGACAACTTCCATTTATTTTCTTAATGATTTTTCAATGATAACCTGTTCATATTGAGATGAAGTTTACAAAATCAAATATTTACATTATTTTAATTCTGTATCATTCTTCTGTAGCATTACTAGGTATAGTGAAGTTTGAACAGTTTTAATTACATAGACAAACACTGTCTTAATTAGTTCACATTTTTTAAAATGAAGTATTACATTTGCAATTAAGACTGAAGTCACTATAAACTTATTTAAGAAATAATTCTCTCAACTCAAATTTGGTTGTAATTCATTCAAGCATGAAGAAAGAGTAGCATTTTGAAACAAAATATTGACTAACTTCCCCTTTTGGGGCCTAGCCTTAAAGTCCCTAGGAGTTGAATCAAAATTCTGGATTGAAGAAATGGCTACCATCACCAATGATGCATCAGACCAAATTTGGTTGAAATCAATCCAGATATGAAAGAGGAGTAGGGTTTTAAAGAAAAAGTTTACGCACGATACACAACGACGGACGAAGCATGATGACTATAGATCATCTTCACCTTTCAGGTCAGATGACCTTATCATTTACTTACTGCCAGAATTCCTTAGCTGCTGTTGCTGGTGTAAAGCTGTCAGCAGAGGCATTAAAAGAATAATTGGACCCAGTTAACATGGAAGAATTGCCATCTACCAAGGTCAAGTTATTTAGAAAGCTTTTAGTGGCATTGATCTTTCCTCGATCCTCAATACAGAATGGAGTGTTCCAGGAGTTGGTGCAGACAGACCAAGGTAGCGGGTCGAAGAAGGAATTGACGAGATAGTAGATGACCCAGACAAGCACCATGATGTAATACCAGGACATTAGGAAGGACACAATGACCATCAGGTAACCAAGACCTAAACAACAACACAGGTATAAGGTTCAAAGGTCATACTGATGCAACATGTTATGAGAAAATATCATCTAGAGGACATTGTTTCTTGATGAATTACAGTTGAAATTCATTAAGTTGAGTGAAAAAATATGAAAGTTTCCATCCCACTCAATATAACACAAATGTTATTCATTAAGACACACAGAATATTCTGCTTATTATATATTTTCTCACACTTTATTGATTCTAATTTATATTGGCCACACAATGTCTATTAGCAGTGTTCTGTTACCGTTATCATTACACTGCCAGATCATACACACTGATTTTAAAATTAAAATACAAGTCTTAAAATGATTCCAAATACTTAGACGTTATTAATTTCAGGTTGACCCAGATCAATACAATACTGTGACCTTTACTCCAATTTCATAGGAGGACTCTTAGAGTAATTGATATTTTTACTGCAAAACCTGTTATCTGATTTGTCAAACATGAACGAAAATATAGTGGATTAAAACTTATATTTCACTGTGAGAAATGTTAAAATATATCGCTTATTAATTATTGGTTGAACTTTTTGTTTCAATTTTACAAACAAAGGTCATCTGATAATTAATCCAAGTATATGCATCCATTCTTTCACTTTGTTAAAAGTTGACCAAAATACTGACAGGTATATCAATAAACCATCACTCATTTCATCAAACATTTGTTGTCAAAACACTTGCTATCAAACTAGTAGTAAATTATGAAACATTTCAAAACTGATACTGACAAAATATTTCTATATTCACATAAATCTAAAACTAGCACTGTTGATGATCTTACCTTTAAAAAGTGGACAGAGTGACCACACAAACAGGGAGCTGACACCGGAGAACTGACCAAGACATAACTCCATGAAGAATAGCGGGATCCCACAGAACACCAGGAAGAAGAAAAATGGGATAAGAAAAGCACCTGAAAAAAATATCTAGGAACTGTTACTAAGGTAATAGATATCTGGGTTGGGGACGATGATCTATACATTACATAATATGTAGAGCTGTTACCAAGATAATAGACATCTGGGTTGGGGAAAATGAATCTGTACATTACATAATATTTTGGAGCTGTTACCAAACGCAAACTTTGTCAAGCGTCATACCAGCCAAATATCATGTTTCTAGGCCTATTAGTTCATGAAAAGAAAAATTTGACCCCTGTGACCCTGAACATAAATCAAGGTCAATGTTTTTCGCAAACTTTGTCAAGCTTCATCCTAGGAACATACCAACCAAATATCATGTCTCTTGGCTAAACTTTGAAAAATAGGGTCAATATTATTCCTGAGCATGAACCTACCACCAGTAAAATAGTCCTCTCTTTTCTTTTTGTTTTCACTTTATTTACAGTTTATAGCATATAATAATGATAATCATTTGTGGATATCCACATGTACCAGGTATATATATCTGAATGTGTTTAAAGCTACCGCGATGAAAGGGTCATAGGTCATGCCTACAAACAATAATGTATGTACATGTAGTTCTAGGCTTGTACATATGCAATGAAAGGTGAATGTTGTTTAGAATTATTGTCTTGTAAACTTTTAACTATTCTACTTATTTGAACTTGACCTTAGACTTATGACCTTGAGAAATATTAATGTAAAGTAGTGCAGTGAAAGGTCAAGTTAGAGCTACTATGTTAGAACAGTTTGGAATGTCAATACCATGTGTAGCAGTACAATAATATTTCTATACTATATTAGTGGTCTGATAAATGTAAATGAAAGAGCACTTAAATGATTGTGTTAAGATATGATGACAATAATTTTATTGGATGTGCGTTGTTTATATAACACTTACTGGGATGCACAAATTCATCACTGTGCTTATTCATCAAAAGGTGGAAATGTCTTTAAATCATGACTGGTCAAATTAAGTATATTAACAGTAGTCAAAACTGCATGCAGTTTTAATTTGAAAATGCAACAAAAAAAAACAAAAAAAATCATCTACTTTTAGACAAGGGTATCAATGAAACTGATGTCTTTAATAGACGCAATATTTTAACAAATGGCAAAAACCGGTAAATATGAGGTTGCAGGCCATGGGTTTGGTATACTGCACATTCTCTTTGTATGACCAATGTATACACCAAGTTTCATTATCCTAGTTATAATGGAAGCAAAGCTATACTTGTGACACAAAATTTTAACAAAGGTCAATAACTCTGTAATTAAAGAGCTGCAAGCCCTAACATTGTCTTAGTAAGATCAATGTAGACATCAAGTCTCATTATTCCAGCTTAAAAGCAAGAAAAGTTATGCTCTGGACAAGGTATTTCAAACAAAGAGCAATAACTCTGTAATTGAGCAGTCTAGGCCCTGAATTTGGTACAAGGTACGCAGCACACTGTCACAGCATGATCAATGTATACACTAAGTTTCATGATCCTTGCTTAACAGTGAGCAAAGTTATGCTCCAAACATGAAAGGATAGATGGAGAGATGGATGGACGGATGGACAAGGCAGCGACTATACTTTATGCTTCCCTAAAAATTGTCCGGGAGCATAAAAAAAGAGTGGTACATCATCAGATGATGGAATGATGGTATTCCTTTAAGCAATCATCAAACCGTTCACCATCAAATTTCTTTCCTCAGAGAACGGAAAAGCTACTTTTTAGATAAATAATTAATCTACAAAGCACATATTCATTATGTAACCATAGTAACCTACCTCCGCCATTCCTCATACAGAGGTAGGGGAATCGCCATATATTGGACACACCCACTGAGTAGCCCACTATAGACAGGAGAAAGTCACATTTCCTTGTCCAGGTGCCACGGTGGTAATCTTGTGGCTCATCATGATTATCCATTTGCATCTCTTCCACGCTGGACAATCTTAATTTCTCAGCTTCCTCTTCTTGTTGTTGTGCCATTGTCTAAAACATACAAAACTTCACTGTAAATTACAAAGACACTTCAACAATTCTGCTAAACACTGTCAAAGCATGAAAAATAGTTCACTTCCTGAAGCTGGAATAAGTATTCCTTCCAGATCTCCAATTCTTCTGTGATGACTTTGGCAATGATATCTGTGACTTGGAAATTCCAGCAGATTGACTGTATGTATGTCTATCATACACCAACAACCTATCATCCTACTGAGTAATGATAGTAATAACAAATTCTTAATATCAAATACATACTGTACTTGATCTAAATAGCACCCACACTTTGATAATCCTTCACATCTAAAGTTAGAAGTACAAACAACATGGTTTTAATGAATTCACATCTGAATAAAGCTCACTAACTGTACTCTCCCAGAATTATCGACAGTTTTAATCCTGGACTTACTGGTTAACCTAATGTTTTGAATATATCATAAAAATACCTGTTATTGATATAAACATGTGAAACTTTTCTTTCTTTTATTCACCAAAAGTCTCAAGACTTATAGGTACAGACTAAACATGATATATTGTACATGTATATGTTATAGGAGAGTGACTATAAGCATACAATACAGCATAATACAGAAGCACAAAAGTTATAAATACATGTAGCTGTAATTAATTAATTACGTCGCTTAGTGGCTAGATACAAATATTTACCTAGATTTGACAACTCTTTGATGTTATTTACAGATAATAGTTGGACAAGTTTGTAAACAGAGGGACTCTTATGATAATACTTCTTTATATATTTTAACCTTAAATCAATATAAAAAGGACATACAAAAATGAAATGAAATTCGTCCTCGATGTCTCCCAAATTACATTTGCTACAGTTCCTATTTCTGCGAATGATATTATTGTGTCTACCCATTTCAATATTCAGTTTATGAGACGAAGTTCTAAATTTAGTTATCATACGTTTGTATTTAGATTCAATAGGTTTACGGAGATAAAACTGAATACAATGACTGTCTATAAGGTATTGATATAGTCTACCTTTTGAAGAAGCTGCTATCTTTGCCAACATATTTTGCTTAGTAACATCTTTCAATCTCTGTTCAATAATTTTAAAAGAGTTAACAAATGGTAGATTTGATTCAAAAATATAACCAAGACCTAGGGCAGTTAACTCATTCTTAATATTACAAATCCACGGATCATTCTCGTTGACACATTCATCATAACAAGTTTTTAATATCAAATTATCCGATTTCGTCAACTTCAACCAATACTTGAATACTTTTAACTTTCTTGTAACAATTAATGGTAATCTACCCAATTAACAATAAACTAAATCATTGGACGTAGATTTACAGACTTTAAGAACTTTTTTGCAGAAATTCAAATGGACTCTCTCTACATCAGGAGCTTTGTGAAACCCCCATATTTTTGCACCATAGCTTAAGATGCTGCTGATATAAGTATCAAAGACAGAGCACTGGGTTTCCAGATTCAAACAATGGTTCTTTAAAGAGGCTGATATTGAAAATAAGGCCTTTCTTCCTTGGTCTGCTAAATGCTTTTGGGTTTTATAAAATTTACCATTGTAATTAAAAAACATTCCCAAATATTTGAAATAGTCAACAATTTCTATGCTCTCATTATTATATTTCCACACTTCATTATTTCTTATATTTCCCCCGTTTCTAAAAACCATGACTTTCGTTTTATTAACGTTGACTTCCAGATCCCATTTTCTAGAGTAACTTTGTAAAGAATCTAACATGTTTTGTAATGCATCAGGACTATCAGCAAAACAAAACATATCATCAGCATACATTAGCAAGAAAAGGTTAAGCATCTGTAATTCAATACTTGGACAATTATCATTAATAAAGTTAATTTCAAAATCATTCACATACAAAGAAAACAACACAGGTGACAATATTTCCCCTTGTAAGAGACCGGTATAATTAGGGAAACAATGACTTAATTGACCCTCAAATTTTACACAGGATTTGACATTTTCATACAAGGATGATAATATCTTTAAAAATTTTCCACGAATACCTTGGTGTATTAATTTACTCCACAGTTTCCCTCTATTAACAAAATCAAATGCTTTTTTAAAATCAATGAAGCAACAGTAAAGTCTCTCTTTTTTACGCAATTTCTTGTTAATTAAAGTTTGTAAAACAAATATGGCGTCAATGGTTGAACTGCCTTTTCTAAACCCAAACTGAGCATCTAATATTATAAAATTTTCTTTTTCCCATGTCATAATTCTATTATTCAAGATTGATGTAAATAATTTACCAAAACAGCTTACAAGTGATATACCACGATAATTATTAGTGTCGTTATTACAGCCTTTCTTAAAAACAGGAACAATACATGCTTGTGACCATGATTTAGGGAAAAACCCATATCTAAAAAGAGCATTAAACAGCCGTTCCAGGTATGGCACTAGGATATGCTTTCCTAGAATAAAAATTTCGTTTATGATTAAATCTTCACTACAACTTTTGTTTGATTTCAGGTTTTCAATGGCTTTAACAATTTCATTTATTGTGATATTGGAGTCAAGATCTTCATAAACTGACTCTATATTAATATTAGGTACATGTTGGTCAACGTCATCAATCTCATTTTGCGCAAGATCTTTAAAGTGTCTATAGAAGTCATCTATTGTGAGTGTATTGATGCCTCTGTTCGACTTCCGATTTTTACAAATACTATAAAATTTTCTTGGATCAGTTCTTTTCAAAAAGGCTAACATGTCGCCTTCATATCGCTTATATTCTCTTTTAAGTTTATACACCAACCTTTTGTAATTACGTTTGGCGGTTATTAAAATATTGTAATTTTGATTTGATTTATTACGGTTAAAATTAATCAACGAATTTCTGTATTCAGTATATAGATCTTTGCACCGTGGAGTTATCCACGGTTTATCTTCAATAACAGCAGTTTTAGTGCGGTGATCGCGGGAGTTTCTCAGAGGGGTATCTCTACACTCACAAAAAGGTAATGTACAATCATTTAATATACTACTTATATTATTTACACATTCATCAACTGCATCTTGGTTATTTAAATCAACATTCAATTGTTCATCGATTAACTCACAATTCTCACTTAATTTATCCAAAATTAGCATAGTATTCTCGCCTTTCCATTTCACAGTCCTACAAGTTCCACTACTGTACATGGCATTGTCATCAGCCAACTCATTTACAACTTGTGTATTTAAAAATGTGCAGATATATATATGACACATAACCGGACAATGATCAGAAAACATGTTGAATTTACCAGAATCAAACTTTAGTATATTGTCTATTTTCGCATTTTCAACCAACAAGTAATCAATCGTACTTTTACCATTATTATTGAAAAATGTACATGTACCAATATCGTCATCTGGGTGCCGCCCATTGACTATACACAAACCTGATGACTTGCACAAGTCAATAAGCTTACGGCCAAAAGAGTTTACCTCCTTATCCATATTCTTACGCTCAATGCTGACAGTTTCAACATTATAATTAACCACATTTTCTAAACTATGTACTAAACTATCATGTAATGTATCTAATTCTATATAATCATGCCTGCTTCCAGTGCGTGCATTCATATCACCGATAACATATACATCACCCATGATTTTATATCTACCAACGGAATCTTCTAAAATTTGAAATAAATTTTCATCACAGTGATCATAAAAAATACTTCCCTCAGGAGGGATATAACAAAATGCAATAAATGTGTGTTCTCCGGAGTTACATGTACCTGTATTATTAAGCTTAAGCCAAACAATACTGTCGTGGATATTTTCAACCACTTCAATTTGATCGGCCAGATCTGGTTTGTAAAATATTACTACACCACCTCCTCTACATACTGCTCTTGGGAATGCAAAATGACTATAGCCCGAAAGCTGTAAAACATCAAACTCTTTTATCCAACATTCCAATACGCATACAATATCGAATGATACTAACAAATTCCGGAATTCCGGATCCTCAAGCTTATCTACTAGACCCCTGCACACATTCCAGGAGCACACTGAGAGACCACTCTCCTGTCTGTCCTATCTCCCATACATCTGGGGATTACCATGTGGAGGGTTGGGTCATTGGGGAACAGAATGTGCTCTCCAGGACTGACTTGGTCCAGAAGGTACACGGTGGGTGTTTCTTGGTGGACCACAGAATGAGTCGTCGTTTTTATACGGTCGCTGATATTCACTGTGTGGGTTCACTTCACTGTGTGGCGCACTAAGTGTTCTTTTAGGCTCTGTGAATGACATGTCATTGGATCCCATGTACAACTGGCCGTTAATGAACAACTTGTCCCTGACCATCTTCGTATGGTCACCGTGCTGTTTGTGATGCTTCATTACAGGGTAAAGTCTCCTACGGCGGTCCTCTATAGCAGCCGGAAATTGCTCATGGACTCCAAAGCCAGAACCCCTCAGACGGTAGGAACTGTTTTTCACCAACTGAAGATCTTGAAACTAATGTAATTATCTGGTTTGAAAAATGTATGTTTATAATGTCATATGATAATCATTGTAAGTAGGACATCCTGAATGAGTGAAGAGACAGCAGGTTATGTGAAGGGGAAGAACATAAAGTCATTAGTAAGTTGGGGTGATAAGTAGGTAAAGGTGAATGATAGAAAGTGACAAGTAGGTTATGATCATAATATATACATGTGTTATTAATAATACAACTGTGCTACCATGTACTTGACACATGCACACCGAGATGAAATTATGAACTCTATGTGCATCATCATGATAAGGGGCTAAGTTGCTACACATCTTATATGAGGATTCCAAGTGCTTCATCGTAGGCAACTACCTTGTAAATATCTGATCTTAGGCTTCCTGGTTTATAAGAAAAAGTTGTTTAAGGATACCACAAATTTGACCTCTGTGACCTTGAATATTCATCAAGGTCATTTTGCAACACTTTATCCTGGGAAACTACTAGCCAAAAAGCTCAATGCTAGGCTTTGGGTTATTGAGGAAA